GACCAGTCAGGGTAATGACAGTAGTGGGGAAACTATAATCCGGGACAAAATAAATTTTCACTTAGAAAAATATGGATTAATAAAAGACAGTCAACACTGACTTGTTAAAGGCAAATCATGTCTAGCAAACCTGATAGAGTTTTTGATGAAGTAATGGAAAGGGTGGATGAAGGTAGTGCAGTTGATGTAGTTTATATGGATTTTCAAAAGACGTTTGATAAAGTGCCACATAAGAGATTTGTAAGCAAAATAGAAGCCCATGGTATTAAAGGGACAGTGGCAGCATGGATACAGAACTGGCTGGGAGACAGAAAGCAGAGCGTGGTGGTGAACTGTTGTTGACTGGAGGGATGTGTGCAGTGGTGTCCCCCAGGGATCAGTATTGGGACCACTACTGTTTTTGATTTATATAGATGTCCTGGACTTGGGTATAGGGAGTATAATTTCCAAGTTTGCAGATGATACTAAGCTAGAAAAAGGAGTAAACAGTGAGGAGGATAGTAGTAGACTGCAAGGGAACATAGACAGACTGGTAAAATGGGCAGACATGTGGCAGATGAAGTTTAATGTGGAGAAATGTAAGTGATGCATTTTGGGAGGAAGAATGAGGAGAGGCAATATAAGCTGATGGTACAATCTTAAAGGCGTTGAAGGAACAGAGAGACTTGGGGGTTCATATAAGTAAATATTTGAAGGTGGCAGGACAGGTAGATAAAGCTGTTAAAAAAGCATACGGGATACTAAGCTTTATAAATAGGGACATAGAATACAAAAGTCAGGAAGTTATGATGAACCTTTATAAAACACTGGTTAGGCCTCAGCGAGAGTATTGTGTTCAGTTCTGGGCACCACACTTTAGGAAGGATGTCAAGGCATTGGAGAGGGTGCAAAGGAGATTTACCAGGATGGTACCAGGAATGAGGGACTTCAGTTATCAGGAGAGGCATGTCATTGAAATGTCTCAAAGTGCTTCACAGGGTATACTGTAAAGATGAGTGACTGTATTTTGTAGGCAAAACACAGCAGCCAATTTGCGCACAGCAATGTCCCACAAACAGCCATGAAGTTAGTGACCCATTTGTTGTGATAAATAAAAAGGAACTCAGGCCTGCTGATCATGGACATGCAGAAAATCAAATAAGCTTCATGTAATTGGCAGAGTTGAGGAGAGAGGAGGAGAGCAGAATTTAAATATGCAAGGAAGAGATGTACATAAAAATCAAAAGAAGAGATATTAGTGAAAAATAACAAAAAAGACAGGGAAAGGTAGGAGGAGTCCATTACATTGCCTGTACTACAACACACAGAGGATGGGGAACAAAATGGGAGAACTGGAGATGGTATCAAAAGTGAGAAATTGGGTGTAATTGCATTAACAGTAACATGGTTACAACCTAGACGTGCTTGCCAATTGAATATTGCATGATACATTATATTTAGAAAGGACAGAGAGGAGAAAATGGGTGGGGGTATTAGTCACAAGACTCTATAATCACACTGGAAAAGGAGAGAGATAAATAATGAGGATTGGAGACAGAATCCATCTGGTTACAGATAAAGGATAAAATAGGACTAGCCACACTATTGAGAGTGCACAACAGGGGAAAAGAAGTAGAAGAAGAAATATGCAGCAGGTAAGGGAGATGAGCAAAAAAAAGTAATAATAATAGGGGATTTGAATTATCCCCAGATAGACTGGCAGAGAAAGGGAGGAGGGAGTAGGAGGCACAGAGGAGATAGTTCTTGCAATGTGCGCAGGACTCTGTTCAAATATATAGAAACTTCAACAAAAGGAGAAGCGCTACTCTACATTGTTATAGATAATGAGTCGGATCAGGTTATGAATTTAACTGTGGGGGAGAACCTCAGGGCTAGTAATAATAATAAAATAAGATTCAAAATGATTACAGAAAAGGAGATAGATAAGACAAGGACCAAGCTCCTTGATTAAGGATCCCCCTGGGAAGAGAATGTGCAATCCAGACATGCGTAAATTTCCATGTTGTACGTGGCAATACACATTTCAATAGTCTTTGTGATGGATTTCTATATGTTTCAGACACCCAGCTGATCAAAACAAATCTGGGGGTAACAGAGTGAAAGATATGTCAAACCTATCTCACCCTGAGCAATCCCTGATTGTAATTTATTCCCCAATACTAAGAATTTTTTGTATTTCTTTTTTGCCTTAATATTTGAGGTTAAAATTGCAGAACATGAATTATGAAATGAAAGAAGCTTGAAAACAGAAAGGGTATTTTCAGTTTAAAAGCAGAGAAGGGAATTTTAAGTTCTCAGTGAAAAGAGAACATGTACCATTTCATTACATAACATAACATGTAGGAGCAGGAGTAGGCCATTCAGCCCTTCGAGCCTGCTCCGCCATTCAATCATGGCTGATCTTCTAACCTAACTCCAGCTAATAACCTGACCCTGCCTTATCCCCATATCCCTTAATCTCTTTTGCAATAAGAAATCTATCTATCTCAGTCTTGAATATGTTCAATGACTGACAGTCAACAGCCCTTTGGGATAGTGAGTTCCATGCATTCACCACCCTTTGAGTGAAGAAGTTTTTCCTCAACTCAGTGCGAAAGGGCTGGCCTCTGATTTTAAGGTTGTGACCCCTGGTTTTAGTTTCTCCAACCAGGGGAAACAATCTGCCACTATCTACTCTATCATGCCCTTTGATGATCTTATAGGTTTCTTAAGAACCGCTCTAATTCTTCTGTATTCTAGAGAATATAGGCCCAAATTGGTCAGCCTATCCTTGTAACTCAACCCCTTCATCCCTGGTACTAACCTGGTAAATCTACGCTGCAGCCCCTCCAAGGCAAGTACATCCTTCCTTAAATGAGGAGACCAAAACTGGACACAGTATTCCAGGTGTGGTCTCACCAGGGCCCTATACAGTTGCAGCAAGACTTCCCTACTCTTATACTCTAATCCTTTCATAATGAATGCTAACATACCGTTCGCCTTCCTAATTGCTGCTGCACCTGCAGACTAACTTTCTGTGATTGGACACCCAAGTCCCTCTGGACGCGAACACATTCAATCTCTCCCCTTCTAAAAAATAACCCGATCTACTGTTTTTGCTACCTAGGTGGATGACTTTGCACTTCCCTACGTTTTACTTAATCTGCCACCTACCTGCCCAATCACCTAACCTACCTATGTCTCGCTGCATTTTTTTAATGTCGTCCTCCGTGTTGACACTTCCTCCTAGTTTTGTGTCATCCGCGAATTTAGATATATTAACTTTGATGTCCTCATCATGATCGTTGATGTAGATGTAAATAGCTGAGGCCCAAGGACTGATCCTTGTGGCACTCCACTAGTCACATCCCGCCAATCTGAAAAGGACCCGTTTATCCCTACTCTTTTTTTCCTACCCGTTAACCATTCCCCAATCCACGTTAATATGCTCCCCCCAATTCCATGGGCCCTTATCTTTTGGACTAACCTTTTATGAGGCACCTTATCGAATGCCTTCTAGAAGTCCAAATAGACCACATCCACTGATTCACCCTTATCTAGTTTACTGGAAATATCCTCAAAAAACTCTATGAGATTTGTCAAACATGACTTCCCTTTTGTAAAGCCATGTTGACTTGGCCTAATTATATTGTGCTCCTCTAAATACCGCACTACCACATCCTTAATCAATGATTCTTTTCTTCAGAGAGACTCTTTACCCAGCTTCCAAACACTCACAGAGTGACAGCAGAAATCTCCTGTGGTTCAATAAATGACCGCAACAACAATCGCAATTATAAGAAGGATTTGGGCATTTTTTAAATAATCCACTATGTTTCATTTTTGTCAAAATGCTGGTATAATTGGAAATGGATAGTTTGAGAGGGTTTTTTATAATCTTCAAAGAATATACTGTGAAGTGAATTGACTGTATATTTTGTGGGCGAAGAGCGACAGCCAATTGCATACAGCAGTGTCCCACAAATAGTCATGGTTTGAGGGACCAAATTATTATTTTTATTTATTTTTAAAAGGATTATTACCCTCGGGTTCCTACTTACTGCCAGGTGAACAGAGCCATTTGGAGTAAGGAAACTTTCCTGCGGTTCCGCCCTGACCGGGAATTGAACCCAGGTCCTCCTGCTTGCGAGGCGAATGCTCTAACTAATACTCTACAGGACTGCTGTGTGAAGTGAAATTCCTGATAGTGTATTTCTTGTGGGGACAATGGGGGAAGTGATGGGCAAAATGCGTTTTTCTCATTTCATGTTTTGTTATATTGTTTAATTTGTTCTCTAAACACCACATCTGTGCACAGCTCAACTGGTTCATCTTCTCCCTATCTCCAAAACATTGCCAACCTCTGCTACGCAACCTTCTCTCCACTCCGGTCTCATCCATGCATTAATCACACACTTGACCACAACTCTCTGCTTGCCGGACTCCCGAGCTCTTATCTACACAAACTGCAGGCTGTCCAAAACTCTGCAGCCCACGTCCTTTCCCACACCAGGCTCCACAAGCTAATCACATCAGCCATGCCTCAGTTCTAAAATGTAAATATTAAATATCATTGGAAATGTAAACAAATACAATTTGGACTAATTGCCTTTGGGATGCAGAAAGTAGCTGGATAATACTTTCCCCATGAGATAGAATGGGTGCACCACAGTCTATGATTTGGTAGGTATAGCTTTGGGTGTTGTGGGCTTCAAGGGCCGAATTCCCCAAAGTAGGGCTTGAACTTACAACCTTCTGAGTATTTGCGCTGTAAAAACTGGTAACTTTCACTGACTGGAGGTGTTCTTAGATGGTTATGTGTAAGCTTTATTGTCTTGAGTTTGCGTCTTCAGTAGCAAAATGTTTCGCGGAATGTAATTGGGTCTTTTAATTGGGCTTTCCTGTGTAGCAATCATTTGTTCTATAATGTGGGAGTTACACTGCTGTGGTTTGAGTCAGCTTGTAAGTGGAGGTTGGTCAAAACGAAAACAGGAAATGACAAAGATGCTTAAACTACAGGGTGTGCAGATCATTCTTAAAACAGCATGAATGAATTACTCCTAACTCCTCCTGACCGATCATAAGAAATAGTTTTAAGGAAATATTTTGCTTAACAGATCAAAATGAGTAAAAGCTAATTTGATGGACCTGTCTCAGGTAAGTTTTAGCATTCCAAATTCTCTTTGAATTTTTTTATAATTAAGATAACATTTATAATGGAGGACAGGAACAGAGACCTAGAGGTATAGATTAACAGGTCCTTAAAGTTGAGTGTAACTATACAACACCATAGAAAACACAGTGGAATGCTAAGTTTTTAAATATAGGGGGATTGCAAGAAGATAATGTTTAAATTGTACAACACATTGTTAGGCCATATTTAGACCACTGCATCGAGTTTGGGGCACTTCATTATTGAAAGCACCTCACAGTTATGGAGAGGGTACAGTGAAAATGCATTGGAGGTAATAAAAGAGTTGAGACAGTACATTGTAGTTTTGCAGAAAGATTGGAAATGTTGGGACTGTTTTCATTGGTTAAGACAGACAAGGTTAAAAAAAATCCTTGCGTTTGATATAGTTCTTCTCATGTCGGGAAGACATCTTAAAGTGCTTCACAGGATTTACTGTAAAGTGCAGTGACTGTGCATTTTGTAGACGACATTAAGGGAGGCATAATGGAGTATTTCCAAATTGTGAATAATTATAAAGATATAAATAGAGAAAGACTATTTTCACTGATTGTCAGTAAAGGTACTAATTGCATATTTTCACAAGTCAGATTCTTTTTGCACAGAAGGTTGTCAGAATGTTGAATGTCTTATTATATATTGCTTCTGAAGGTGAGTTCACAACAGCAAAAACATGGGGGATAAATATATTTTGAAAATATTATATTCTCCAGGGAAATATCACAGGAATGAGATTAAAGTAGATAGTTCCAGTGGGTGAGTTAGCATCAGCACAGAATACTGGGCTGAATGTTCTACTTCTGTACTGTAAACTTTCTATCATTCTATGTTAAGGGTTGTATATACAGCTGGCAAAACATTACCACAGTTCAAATAATATATGTAGAGGGTCTAGAACTAAACCTTTAAAGAAAATATAGTCCTGCCAGTACTAAGTTAATATTTGTCATGTTTACTGCAATATACTGTATTTTATTATGTAGAAAGCTAACCTGATTAGAAAACTTGGATTGACGTTTCTACAAAAGTCACCATTGTAAGTTAATTCCACTGAGACCTGGCACAATTTTTGTCCTAAAAAATCATCAAAATAGAAAACGAATGAGAAAATGAACAAATATGTTTTCTGCATCTTTCATTGCTTTTTTTCCCAAGATGAAACTGAATTGAAAGTGTCTCTGAGTTTCCACAATATAGATTTCTTGTAGTATCTGAGTAACCCTTTAATAACTGGAGTTTTTCAGCTTTTGAAAATATAATTTGTCTACGTTAGACTTTTGTTTGGTTAAGTTGGTAGCTCTCTCCCCCCCAGTCAGAAACTGTGGGTTCAAGCCCCATATTAAGAATTTTTGAACACACAGCATAGGCTGGAAGAGAGGTGCATTGTTTGAAGTGTTACATTTTGGAAAGACATTAAATCGACACCCTACCTGTATGTTTAGATCGATGTTAAAGTTCCCAAAGCACTATTCAGAAAGCAAGGGAGACTCTCTTGGTGCCCTGGCCAACATTCCTCAAGATAAATTGAACATTCACTTCATGGCTATTTATGCAATCTTGTTGTGCACAAATCTGCCGCCGCATTTACCTGCAAACATGACAGCAATTAACTGTGAAGTCCTTTGAGATGATAGGCACTATAAAAAAAATTATTACTTATATTAGTTTCCAGGAACAACAAAAACAGGATAATGTAGTGAAAAAAATAATCCTTGCATTTGAAATAGTGGCCTTTATGTCGGGAGAGCTGCACGGGATATACTGCAAAACGTAATGACTGTATTTTGCAGGTGAAACACAGCAAACAATTTGCTCCTGGCCATCTCCCATGAAGTGAAAAACTCCATTCTCTTTTCAAATAATACCATGAGACCTGTAACATCTAACCGAACAGGTAGATAGGATCTCAATTTAGTGTCAGTTGAAGGATGGTACCTCCAACAATGCAGCACATCTTAATCCACCGCGGCATTGGAGTGTCCGTCAGAATGATTTGAGTTTAATATCCCAATGTGGGAGAGTGCTACCAACATAATCAGGCTAATACTAAAATATATTGCTGGTTAATAATAATCATCCTTGCATTTGGTATAGCGCCTTATCACGTGTTTGAGATGTCTCAAAGCGCTTCACAGAATATACACTAAAGTTAATTGACTGTGTATTTTGTAGGCAAAATGCGGCAGCCAATTGCGCAGAGCAGTGTCCCACACAAACAGTCGTGGATTGAGTGTCCAGATTATTTTTTTGAAGGGATTATTACCCCCGGAAAGCAATTTGCCAATCGACTAACAAGCGGGTTCCTACTTACTGCTAGGTAAACAGAAGTGTGCGTGTGGTGTAAGGAAACTTCCCTAACAGTTCCCTCCACCTGGAAATTGAACCCAGGTCCTCTCGCTTGCCAGGTGAGTGCTCTAACCACTATGCTAAGGATTCCACGATATCATTAGAGAATGAAATAGAATGAGATGTTAAACCAAAGTCCCATCCACCTGTTCAGTCCAGGACACTGGGAGAGACTCTTCTCTTTTTGAATAATGCAATGGGATCTTTAACTTACGTTTAAGATTACGAAAGTTGATCCCATGGTATTATTCAAAAAGAGAAGAGAGATTCTCCCTGTTTCCTGGCCAACAATCCCACAGATTTAATTGGACATGTGCTTCATGGTTGTTTGTGGGGCATTGCTGTGTACGAATAATAGTAATAATAATTATAATCATATACAGTGAAGTACTTTGAGATGTTTAGTAATAATAATAATAATCCTTTCACATCAGGAGAATGTCTCAACAACAACAACAACAAGATTCCATTTATAAAGCGCCTTTCACGTCAGGAGGACGTCCCAAGGCGCTGCACAGTTGGGTCATGACCCGAGCAGGGGGGAAATGGTCAGGGTGAGAGAAGGGAGGGAGCAAGGAGGGGGGAAATGGTCAGGGTGAGGGGAGGGAAGGGAGGGAGCGAGGAGGGGGAAGAGAGTCGAGAGGGAAGCTGAAGGCACGGTCAAAGAGAAAGGTTTTGAGACCGGCCTTGAAGGAGGAAAGGGAGGAAGCAAGGCGAAGGCACTGGGGGATGGAGTTCCAGAGCCTGGGGGCTGAGAGGCTGAAGGCCCGACCACCGATGGTAGGGCGGTTGGGGCGGGGGACGTGGAGCAGATCAGAGCCAGAGGAACGGAGGGTACGGGCAGGTAGGTAGGGGGATAGTAGGTTGGAGAGGTAGGAGGGAGCAAGGCCGTGAATGGCCTTGTAGGTGAGGATGAGGATCTTGAAATCAAGTCTCAAAGCGCTTAACAGGATTTACTGTAAAGTATCGTGACTGTATATTTTGTAGGCATTATAACAATGTGGTATGGCACAACTATATCAAATGCAAGGATTACCATTATTTTATTTTTACGTTTGGTAATACCTGCTGACACGGTTAAATGGCTTGTAAAACTGGTGGCACATGGAATTCAACTTGGAAATATAATAATAGTTATCACAAGGAGGATGTTTTGAAATGGTGCAGCATTCATGCAATTGAATTTGAAGTGCACTTGAAGTATCCTGGAAGAATTGTACTTCAATAACCTGCCGTTGTCAGCTGTTGTGCTTTTCATTTATTTATATGCTAGCTGAACCCATTTATTGCAAACTCATGGAGAGCATTAATCGAAATTAGGGATCGCAGATGGTTGACTATCTCCTTTGGTTTTCTAAAACCTTGTTCGCAACCCAGAGAGAACGTTTGTTATACCATGAGCTTTGTGGTGGCAGCCTGCAGCATGAATGAGGGTGGACTTATCTAAATTGTGAGTACTAATCTTGAAAGAAAATTGATGCAGTAATGAAAATGACAGTAGAAAAAGGGAACAATACTGGCAGTGAACTAAAGTATGTGTTGGAAACAATCAGGGGTTCAGACTAGCCGGTGAAGCTACTGTTATTATACTGGCTAATAGAGGTGGGTGACAATGACAGTCCTAAGTGACTGAAGCGCTGATGAAAATGTAACTGATCATTATCAAGGAAAGCAAGAAAAAGATCTTATCAAATAGAAAATATGAGGTGCATTGGCTCAATAACCGCAATGGAACAAAATGACCTTGGGCCTGGTCTCAGCCCAGTGCAGCACTTTCTGTTTCACACAGTGCATTTATTTCTGCAACTCTGGGAGAAACTCAGCCGCCTCTTTATTTTTAACAATGCTGATAACCATTGTGCACAGTCGGAGCTATTTGTAGCAAAGCTCATTCACAGGCATGTAATTGTCCGGCAGAATGGTACAAACTATATTTAGGCAAAGGTGAATAGAAGATGGACATATACCAGAGGTTTCACAAGGCCAGCTGAAGCAGAGTACAAAAATATTCACTGGTGCAATTAAACTGACTGGCAGCTGAGGTTGCGTTTATAATAATAATAATAATCCTTGCATTTGATATAGCGCTTTTCACGTTGGGAGGACGTCCCAAAGCGCTTCACAGAACACACTGTAAAGTGAATTGACTGTATATTTGTGGGCGAACGCGGCAGCCAATTGCGCACAGCAATAATAATAATAATAATAATAATAATCCTTGCATTTGATATAGCGCTTTCCACGTCGGGAGGACGTCCCAAAGCGCTTCACAGAACACACTGTAAAGTGAATTGACTGTATATTTGTCCCACAAACAGTCGTAGATTGAAAATGACCAATTTATTATTGTTTTTGGTTTTGGAGGGATTATTATTAGGCGTGTGGAGTAAGGAAACTTGCCCGAGGTTTCGCCCTGCCTGGAATTGAACTCAGGTCTCTCGCTTGCAAAGCGAGTGCTCTAACCACTGAGCTACAGGACTTGGATTCAATTGGATTCAATTTCTTATTTTAATCTAACCTGAAATGAATAATATGCTGATTAATAATAATTCTTGCATTTGGTATAGTGTCTTATCAAGTCATCGATATGTCTCAAAAATGTTTCATTGGATTTTACTGTGAAGTGTAACGATTACATATGTGAGGGCAAATGTAGCAGCTAATTTGCCAACAGCAATATCCCACAAACAGCCATGAAGTGAATGATCATTTTTTGTTTGTAGGCCAGGACACTGGGAGAAACTCTCTCAATTAATTCAAATCTGTTACAAAATGTTGCATTTTCACCCCTCGGTCTCCAATGTGGATTCACAGTTTTGCCATAGTATATACAGTCAATCCACTTTACAGTATATCGTATGAAGAGCTTTGAGGCGTCTCATCAACGTGATAAGGCGTTATATCAAATCCAAGGATTATTATTATAATTATAAATACCATTTGATTCACATTTATTGAGATTTCAAAGATTATTTTGCAGCCTTTCATCACCTGTTCACGTCACACTTCTCACCGTTATCTGGAATTATCTGGGAACACAGTGAGGTTCAAAATTTCAGTGGTGTATTACCGAAGACGTTTTGTTCCTTATTTAAAGAACAAGGCTAAAATGTCTTTGAAATACTCCCTCTGAATTTCAGATTTTCTGAAGACAGGTAGCATCCAGATTTGGCCTAAAATGCTTCAAGCGCCCATCCCATATTGAGGTTGAGGAGAGGGGGGAAGAGTTGTAGAAGTGGAAGAGGTCTTTTAGGTGCATTTACATGGAAATGATTTGGTTAGGTTGTTAGTTTCCATAGTGATATTGAAAGAGTAAGGTTGTTATTCCATGAATTTATGCAGCAAGCTCTGAAAATAAAAATGGGATTCCGATAGGTTCCATTTTTGTCGGTATTACGGTGGAGCTGAGGATATGCTGATGAGGTCTTATTTGAAGCTCATTGTTGGAGTTGTGGGTTCAAGTCCCACATTGGGACTTTGAGTTCATGGTTGATATTTATCTAGTGACCTTTTGAAACTAGTATAGATTCAACCTCAACCACTGCTCCTGACAGGACAAAACGTTGGGCAAGTTTCCTTACTCGACATGCCTCTGTTTACCTAGCAGTGAGTAGGAACCCGGTTGTTAGTCGATTGGTGGATCACTTTTCCAGGAATAATAATTCCTCCCCCAAAAAATAATAATAATAATTTGGTCACTATATCCACGACTGTTTGTGGGATACTGCTGTGCATAGTTGGTTGCCTTGTTTCGCCCACAAAATATGCAGTCAACTCACTTTACAGTATATTCTCTGAAGCGCTTTGAGACATCTTGAAGAAGTTAGGCCTCATCTAGAGTACTGTGTCCAGTTCTGGGCACCACACTTCAGGAAGGATGTGGAGTCCTGTAGCTCAGTGGTTAGAGCACTCGCTTCGCAAGGGAGAGGACGTGGGTTTGATTCCCGGTGGGGCGAAACCTTGGGCAAGTTTCCTTACTCCGCATGCCGGATAATCATCCCTGAAGAAAAAAATAAAATTGGTCACTTCAATTGACTGCTGCATTTCACCTGAAAATATAATCAATTCACTTTACAGTATATTCTGTGAAGCGCTTTGAGATGTCTAGAAGACGTGTAAAGTACTATATCAAATGCAAGAATTATTATTATTATTACAAAGGATATTAAGGCATTGGAGAGGATGCAAAGGATATTTACCAGGATGGTACCAGGAATGAGGGACTTCAGTTATCAGGAGAGGCTAGAGAAGCTAGGATTATTCTCCTTGGAGGAGAGAAGGTTAAGAGGAGATTTAAATGAAATTTTCAAAATTATGAAGCGATTCGATAAGGTAAACAAGGAGAAATTATTTCCACTGGCAGGTGGGTCGGTGACCTGAGGACATCGATTTAAAATAGTTGTTCAAAGAAACAGGTGAAGAATTTTTTCACACAGAGTTCTTCACATCTGGAATGCATTGCCTGAAAGGGTGGTGGAAGCTTAAACAGCTTTTAAAAGAGAAGTAGATAATTATTTGGGGAGGACAACTTGCAGGGTTATGGGGAGAGAGTGGAGGAGTGGGATTGATTTGGATAGTTCTTTTAAAAGAGCTGGCACAGATACGATTAGTCGAATAACCTCCTTCTGTGTTGTATAATTCTATGATTCTAAGTGACAAGGCGCTATATCAAATGCAAGGATTATTAGGATTATTATATTCCATATCATAACTGCTCTGTGCATGAAAAAAATCTCATTTGCTGATGGTGGAGTACAGGGTATAAGGAGCATGCAAAAGACCAGAGTGGGTTGAGCGATGTGGGTATGAGTGAGTTTGAGCAGGTCGAAGAGGTAAGGAGGTGCTAGGGCATGAATTGATTTGTAAGTGAGTGTAAGGATCTTGAAATGGATCCATTCTGCAATAGAGAGGCAGTGGAGGCTGCTAAGAACTGGAATGATGGGTGTGCAGAGTTTGATATGGGTGAGGATATGGTTAGCAGAGTTTCGAGTCAATTAGATTTCATGAATGATGGAGTTGGGGAGACCAATGAGAGGGCCATTGGAGAAATCATGGCAGGAGGTGATGAAAGTGTGGATAAGGGTTTCTGCTGCATTGGGTGAGAGATATAATAAAAAAAATAATCCTTGCATTTGATATAGCGCTTTTCATGTATTCTTGATGTCTCAAAGCGCTTCACAGAATATGCTGTAAAGTGAATTGACTGTATATTTGTGGGCAATGTGGCAGAGGTGGAGGACAGTAGTCAGGGACCGGATGCGGGGTACAAAGAGCAACAGGTTGCTAAGGTTTCACACAGGTTCTGTGAGTCTGAGGGATAGGTCAGTGAGGTTAAGGAGGTCAGTTAGAAAACATTGACAGGAACCAAGGAATATGGCTTCTGTCTTGTCAACATTCAGTTGCAGAACATTGGTGCTCATCCAGGCCTTGATGTCTGACAAGGAAGTGGACAGAACATCAGTGAACCTAGGGTTGAGGCTAGAGGTGGAAAAGTGTCTGTGGTGACATCACCGAGATGGAGCATGAAATGAGAAAAGGGAGGAGGCCAGCGATAGAGCCTTGGAGTTTGCCACATATGATATTGCAGCAGTGGTAGGAGAAAACATTTTCCGAGTAAAACTAGAGCAAGCAGACCTCCAAATACAAAATTAATGACTGAAACAGTTTGCTGGGAACAGTGGTTGAGCCCAGCACACAGAACTCATTTAAAATGCAGCTTGGTGCTGTAATGGGAGACGATAGTGGGGAGGGATGAGATCAGGTGGGCCAAAGGGCGCTTTTCATCCAAACTACTCTTGTGACCTTGTGATATGTGTATCTTTTTGATGATGTTAGCACTCATCTATTGCAATTGTACTTTTTAATTTTAGTTGTACTTCAACACGGATTTGGTTTGAAAGAAAACAACATTTGTTGAACCATTACATTTATAAGTTATTTTGACCCTTTCTCAATTTCTCTTCTTTCACTTTCTCACAAACTTTTCCTTCCAAAAAGGATGGCCAAGTGGCACAGCTAATCGCANTTTTTTCACTGCCTATGTGGGTGAGTGGGTGAGGCAAGTATAACCAAAGAACCATAGAATTATACAGTACAAGAGACCATTCAGGCCACTGTGTCTGTGCTGGCTCTTTTAAGGGCATTCCTTTCAGTTCTATTTACATGCCCTTTCCCCATACCCCTTTAGCTGATTCTTTTTTAGGTATTTATCTAGTGAAGGGTGATCTGCCCTCTGATGTTTCCTTACTTCCCTCAGGAGAAGCGATTGCTCTCCACTTCTCTATCTCCCGGAAACAGCCCAGCTCAGAAAAAAGACTATTTATATGGAAACCACTGCGGGAGAGCAGCCTGTTCATAAGCCAGCAATACCCTGCCGCCCACCTGCCACTTATTCATTAGCATGATAAGGCCATCTACCATCTTTTTCACAGTTCATTTCTTAGTCAAATTCTGCAAGGAACAGCCATGAAGAACAATCTAATTATTGCTTGTGATTGCTCCTGTGCTTTGCTATTCTTTACCAATGTCAGGAGAATCTTTCCATCATCAGCTTTGCACAGAATGTTAAACAAACAAGTGAAAGAGACAAAGCAATCTGGTGTTGCAGCTAGATTCAGTCAGTCTTTCTCTCCTCTTCTATTTTCCTCCCTCAAACCATTTAACTCCTTTTTCTTCCACTGAGTTTCACTTTGTCCACAATAATACACACTGACGCATCACTTTACAGTATATCCTTTGAAGCACTTTGAAATGTCTCAACAATATGATAGAGTGCTATATCAAATGGAACACTTGTTCTAGTATTATTATTTATAATGCTAGAACGAGGAAGTTCTGTAGTTCAGTGGTTGTGGAGTCCTGTAGCTCAGTGGTTCAAGCGCTCGCCTTGCAAGTGAGAGACCTGTGTTCGACTCCTGGCAGGGCGGGACACTGCTGTGCACAATTTGCTGCTGCATTTTGCCCACAAATATACAGTCAATTTACTTCACAGTATATTCTGTGAGTGAAGTGCTTTGAGACCTCTAGAAGATGTGAACAACGCTATATCAAATGCAAGGATTATTATTATTATTAATACTAATCAAACCCAAGTTTCATTTGAGCTTCTGGAGGCAGCATTTAAGTGCCTCTTCACTAACTTAATCATATTAGCTGCACTCAAACACCAATCTCTGCATTCAGGGCAGATTTAGCTTGGAAATTTTATTGGACATAACCATTGCGCTCTGGGGAAGGGATGATTTTTTAAAAAATACACTGATGCAATGATTTTTTCAATCAGTCCCAGCATAATTCTTTACATTTTATTTCCAGTGACTCCTGTGTAGTTACCTCAAACATGCAATGCAAATGTCAATAATGTAAATTATTAATTTTGAATGTTTGTGTTTATTTTCTACCTTTGGGTTTTACCTGGGTTTAATAGAAACAAAAGAGTTTATCGTGCACTTAGTATTGATCATGTGTAAACTGTATTAAGTAAAGTAATGAAAACAATTTTGATTTTGCTCAGAATAAGTTTATTATTTCTCTATCAGGCAATTTACGAAAACAGTGCAACATAGATCTATTGGAGGAGAAAATATGAAACCAAGTCTGCCCCCCAGCAGGTAAGCAGTGTTTTCCTCCTCGGATAGAGTATAAACACACACGGCGCTTACCTGAAAAAATCATCGACTAAAGATTTATTTCTAAATGTTTCATGGAGAAACAGCATTAATTGTGAAACAAAGCCATAGGCCAGCAAGTACATAAAGCAGAGGGAACCAAATCCAAATGATTACGTGGAGTCCTGTAGCTCAGTGGTTAGAGCACTCGCTTTGCAAGCGAGAGACCTGAGTTCAGTTCCAGGCAGAGGGCGAAACCTTGGGCAAGTTTTCTTACTCCACACACCTAATAATAATCCCTCCAAGAACAATAATAAATTGGTCATATTCAATCTATGACTATTTGTGGGACATTGCTGTGCGCAATTGGCTGCCGCGTTCGCCCACAAATATACAGTCAATTCACTTTACAGTGTGTTCTGTGAAGCGTTTCGGGACGTCCTCCCGACGTGAAAAGCGCTATATCAAATGTAAAGATTCTTATTATTATTAAGCGTCTCAGTCCTTTGGGTGAAACATTAAGCCAAGGACCCTTCTGCCTGTTCAGGTGGATGTTAGAAATCGAAGGTGCTGATCAAAAAAGGGAGTATCTCCTGGTGTCCTGCCCAACAATCCCCAAATTAAAAAAAATTGTCACTCAGTACATGGCTATTTGTGGGACATTGCTGTGCATAAGTCGCTGCCATGTTTCACCCACAAAATACACAGTATATACTTTATAGAAAATCCTGTGAAGCGCTTTGAGACATCTCAACAACGTGATAAGGCACTGTAACAAATACAAGGATTACAATTATTATTTTATTTTCCAGGGCAATATTCCCTTCTCTCTTTAATGCTTCCAGGTCCTTTCTCATTTCTCTGGCAGTTAGATCATGCTCAAATTTCTAATTAATTCAGGCTTCAGTTTGTGACTCACTTGGTTAGTTTTAAAGTTAATCTAGAATTGGGTATCTCTAAATCAGTTACAGCCTTACCTGGCAACCAAGGAACTGGCCTCCTCTCGCCTGTACAAACTATACCATCCAGGAACTTTGATAGATTTTTTTGCTTCCCAAGTACAACACAAGGAATCCTTCCCTACCAAAAGAACATGAAAGTACCTGAAATCATGCTATTTGGAGCAAAATGTAATAGAGCTCCAAAACAGCTCTCAAAAGAGATAAAGGATTTTGAAAGAAAAGTGTCCTTGTCCAGAAATTCCCTTCTAAAAGCTTTTATAATAATAAAAAATACAGGCATTTGATATAGTGCCTTTCATTCAGGTGGTCATCTCATAGAACTTCACAGTGTATAATGATAATAATCATTACATCAGATATAATGTATCTGGGGTCCTGTAGCTCAGTGGTTAGAGCACTCACTTTGCAAGCGAGAGACCTGGATTTGATTCCCAGACAGGGTGAAACCTTGGGCAAGTTTCCTTACTCCACATGCCTAATAATAATCCCTCAAGAAAAAAAATAATAAATTGGTCACTTCATTCCATGACTGTTTGTGGGACTCTGATTTACTGTAAAGTGGATTGACTGTAAATTTTGTGAACAATATACGGCAGCCAGACGTACACAGCAGTGTCCCACAAACAGCCATGGACTGAATGACCAATTTTATTTGGGGGATTGCTTGCCAGGACACAGGAAGAACCTCCCTTCTCATTTCAAATAGTACCACAGGATCTTTAACATCCACCTGAACAGGCAGACAGGACGTTGGTTTAACGTCTCATCTGAAGAACAACTCAGACAATGAACACACCCATTGAAGCTGCATTAAAGTGTCAGTTTAGACTATGTAATTCCAAGTCCCGATACGGGGCTCAAATGCACAACCTTCTGGCTCAGAGGTGAGAATGCTATCACTCACCAGACTGACACGCTTACACTGTAAAATCTAGCAACTGTCTATTTTGTGGGTGAGCAGGGCAGCTAGTTTTCATACCACATTGTTCTATAAACAGCCATGAGGTGAATGAGCAATTTTATTTGGGCGATTGTTGGCCTGGAAACTAAGAGATACTCACTTCTCTTTTCAAATAATGCTTGAGTTTAACATATCATCTCAACAGCACGTCCGGTTAAGAAGCACACCCCCATTAATACATTGGAATGGCAATCTAGACGATATCAATTCAAAGTCTGAACAAGGGGTTTAAACCCACACCCTTCTAACACAGAGGTGAAAAAAACACAGCTACAATATTTTCTTTAATAATATTAAAAGCTTCAACAAAGTTCAGGTCTTTTGGAGAACTTAAACATGGTCTTATTGAAGCAGAGACTGACTAGTTTTGCCCCACTGTCTCCATACACCGAGAGTAAGGCTGCAACAAATAGTCCCTTGGCTGGAGAAACCACCTTCATCCGGCTATCTGCTGAGTGCGTTTCTTGCAGATCACAACCACCAACCCAATTTATAACAATGCTTTAGGGCCATTCTTATATATAAGTCAACTTGAAAGACTAGTGTAAACACAGCATCAGACCTAAAGTTAGAAACTGTTCCGTTTACTTTTGCGATTGAATCGCATCCACTGAAGATAAATGAGCAGTTTATATCACTGTACATAGACTCTGAGTCACAAATATTTTCTTACTGCATCTTGTACAAGCATTAATCACTTGTTTTGATTTATTACCCTGTGCTGCTGTTTATCGACAAATAATGACATTATTCTATTGTTCTTTCTGGCTGATAAAGCCCTAAAATTGCTGCACAAATCAAAGAATCATCCAATTTTACAGTGAAAGAGCCATTTTTTCCTAGGGAATACTGGGCAAATAATAAAGCATAATCCTGATATTTACCACATTTCCACTTCACTGTTGAATCCATAGTCCCCTGGAGGGCATTTCCCTGGCAGGAATTTAAGGTAATTAAGATCAAACTCCAAGTGTGAAGAGGTCCTAGACTTCTTTGCCTCAAAAATTGAAAACATCTACTTGGCTGCATTGTCCTCCCCCCACATGTCCCCTTCCACCCCACCCAGACCATCCACACTGCCTTTCCCCTCCTTACACTCCTTTGCCCGCATTTCTCCCTCCTCCCTCTCAACCACAATCACCCGGATGAAATTCACCACCTGCTATCTTGACCCCCTTCCCCACCCAGCTGCTGGTCACTCAACTCCCCCTTCTTTATCCCCTCCTGGTCGACACGATCAACCAATCTCTCTCCTCAGGCTCTTCTTCCACTCCTCCTGAAAACCGCTGTCATCACATCCCTTCTCAAAAAAAAAACACCCTTGATCCCTCTAATCTCTCACACTACTATCCCATCTCCAACCTGCCCTTCCTTGCTAAAGTCCTGGAATGCATTGTTGCAGGTCAACTTCAGTCACACCTCTCCCTCCTCGAGGCCCTGCAGTCTGGTTATCGCTCTGCCCACAACACAGAGACAGCACTTGTTAAAGTCACAATTGACATTCTCTCTATCTGTGACCAGGGCTCCCTCTGCCTCCTTGTCCTCCTGGATCTCTCTGCCACGTGCGACACAGTCGACCACGCCATCCTCCTCCACCGTCTCTCCTCTCTCATCTACCTTAGCGGGACGGTACTCGCATGATTTGAGTCCTACTTAATCTACCGCCTCCATTTCATCTCAGAAAATGGTTTCTCCTCCTGCCCCCCACCCAGTCACCTGCGGGATATCCCAGGGCTCCATCCTTGGCGCTATTCTTTTCCTTATCTATGTGCTCTGTACCCACATCTCACCAGTTCTGGCCAGGCTCCACTGGCTCCCCATCACCAAACGGATCGACTTCAAGATCCTCACTTTCGTGTTCAAATCCATTCACTCCCTGGCACCTCCCTACCTCTCCGGCCTCCTCACTCCTCAATCCACTACCCGGCACCTCTGCTCGACTTGCACCAATCTCCTGCTCGTCCTTCACAACCTCCGCCCCACCATCGGAGGTCGTGCTTTCAGCAATTATGCTTCAGAACTCTGGAACACTCTCCCTCAATCCCTCTGCCTTGCCCCCTCTCTGCCCTCTTTCAAGTCCTGCCTGAAAACTTTCCTCTTTGACCGTGCTTACGGCCACCACCCCCAGCTCGGAGTCAGGCTCCCCCACTGTTAAGCACTCTAAGACGTTACCCTGAGTGGAGAGTGCTATATATGCAAGCTGTTGTTGTAATTATTGGTCCTGAGGCTGGTGTTACTGAATTAGATTGAAAGAACGATGGAAATGAAAACCTTGAGGCTGTAATGCTGAAAAAACTAACCTGAGTGCTGCAGGCACCACTATTTTTCTGTGCTTTCCTCAATGCATTTCCTCACAGTGAATGTACTGAAATGTACCACATCAAAGTATACTTACTGTAACAAATCTTACTTAAAATGTCACTTTCTCTTTGAAGAATTGCTGTAACCAGGTTTGTTGGCTGACAGGCTTAATTTTGCAGAGCTCAGATGTTAGGTTAGGCAAATTTATGGTTGGTTGTAGAATCAATGGTCACCTCAAATATGATATGGCCTTTTTACTGCTGCACACAGGAACCTACAAGGCAGAAGGCCATGCCCTAGTCTTGCAAAGAATGCACGATTGATCTCCACAGCCAAAGACTGCCTCATACTGAGCTGACATTTTATCCGCTGCAATGAGACATTGACCAAGATGGATGAGATGTTAAACCAAGGCCCTATCTGCCTGTTCAGGTAGATATTAATGAGAAGGAAATTTCTCCCAGTGTCCTGGCCAAAGTTCCCCCATATAAAATTGTCTATTCACTTCATGACTGTTTGTGGGACATTGCTGTGTGCAAAATTGGCTGCTTGCATTCACCCACAAAACAAAAATCCACTTTACAGTATATCCTGTGAAGTGCTTTGGGACGTACTCCTGATGTGAATGGTGCTATTCAACTATAAGTATTATTATTATTTATTATTTAAAGTTCCATATGGATATATTTTGAAAACACTTTGATCGGAAATAGTTTTTTTTGCTTGTTTTTCTTTCTGTGTTTTGGTGACATGACAAGAAAAAAAACATTATTTCCGTGACTTTCAACAAATCAAATGCTTGTTAGAAATAACAACAACAAATTGCCTGTTAGCTTGACCATGTGGAAACGCATCTATAATGTGGCAAAATAAATTGATCAAATGTGATAGTAAAGAAATTATTCGATTAGACCTGAAAAAAAATCAGAAGAAAATGAATTGTATCACTTTATAATGACGTTTCTCTTAAAATGAATGCACATCATGAATTTACTATACATTTACTGTAGTGTGAATTAGTAGATTTAAGCACTGGAACCTAGGGTCAATATTAAATGTATAAAACTAATCATCTCCATTCAATATGTTTAACTACCTATACAAATAATATTCATGTTAATATAAATATGGGATATGATTCGGCTGTTTAAACACTTTTCCTTTATTTCCAGTAAGTGAACCAATCAAAGTTTATAACATAATTAAATATCTTGTTTCAGTAGAAAATTGAACAAATTCATGATCTATAGTGTAGATTCTACACAAACACTTTTGTTAAACACGATGATTATAATACTTGGACAGATCTTAATGAAGCTTATGTTTAAATATGATATAGAGCTGACTATTGTTCTTAGTCTTTTCCTGGTTCTGCACATTCATATTTCTCGCACAACACACCTTCAACAACCTTGATCTGAGCTACGGAGATATGATTTTATTTCAGATTGTTGCAGGTGGTTAACTCTCAAAGTAAATCATCAACATTCGCAAGCACTTAGATGTTGAAATTATGCACAGGGAGCTCAGTCTCTTCCCTCTCCACAACCTTGCGGAAACAGATGACATTTTCCTGGTTCTATTTCCCATTGAAATGTGTGCATACAATAGATGCTCCAACCTCAGCTGCTTTACTCCAAAATGCCCCCATTGCTGTCCTTAACCCTTCATCACTCCCACTCGGTCCTCCTCTCCCATCGTCCTGCTCGCCTCCTATCTCCATTAACCATCCCACAGCCTCTCTCTGCTCCAGCCTGGGAATCCTCCTTCAGGCTCACCATGGCAATTGCTGTTGGCTGTCCAGCAGCAGCCACACTGACTGCCCTATTGCCCACTATTACCACAAGACCTACCAGCCCCAGACCCCAGGGGCAAATCTCTCCTCACACACACACTCACACCCTTCTTGTCAATTGTCCCCGTCCCCACTCTCATCTCGCACACATCCCGCACATAATTATTATCTTGCTGTGTTCATTGAAGTAGCTTTAGAGCTCCATTCTGAAAATGGTTTCAGATTAGCCATCAGATTTTGGACCATCCAGAGACTAAATTTCGCTTGGCTGTCGAGTTCACACAATCCAAAATACACAGTAACACCAGATTAGAGCGGATCGTGTGAAGTGCTTTGAGACATCCTCCTTACGTAAAAGGCAAAATATGAAATGCAAGCAATGCTATAAAATACTTGAAAAAAGGAATATAGAAGCCCTCATGTTTTGGTGCAATGGTTAAATAGAGAGACACGAGAGGTGAGGAGTAACAGCGAGAGCAGTGGGGAGTGGGAGGTGAGGAGTCACCAAGAATAGACTGACGGCGAACCAGGAAGTAAAACATTCACCATAAATAATGGGATTGTATAAAATTAAGCATTTAAAAACAATGTAGTTGAAAAATGACTTCACATTCCTGAAGTGACACGGAAAGCTGAAGGCTTGAAGTGCACATTCCAGTCCAAACCTGGGAACTCTTCAAAGAGCTGTCACCTTTGAAAATAGCACATTAAAGGCTGGAGAATGTGCAGAAGACACATTGTATACTCTTATTAATGTGACAAGCCAATGAATCAATATTTGTGAATTCCATGGGATTGGAAGCAGGAACCAGAATGGGATATTGGATTATTCCAGCTAAATTTAACATCTACTGTTATGTTTGAATAATAGCTGTTGACAGAGAGCAACTTTACTCGATTAATGCTTTATAATACATCTTACGTAGTCAAATAAATATACAGCAAGGGGACTTGCACACAGCCTCTGAAGAAAGAAGGCAAAGAGGACAGTTTAGATTTAATTACGTTATATGGAGAGTGGTGAATGAGTAGAATGAAATATCCAGGAAGTGCTGGAGGCAGATTGTATCAGTAAATTTAACAGAAAAATAGATATCTTTAATAAATAATAATAATAATTCTTGCATTTGATATAACGTTTTTTCACGTATTCTCGACGTCTCAAAGCGCTTCACAGAATAGACTGTAAAGTGAATTGATCGTATATTTGTGGGCGAAACGCGGCAGCCAATTGCGCACAGCAGTGTCCCACAAACAGTTGTGGATTGAAAATGACCAATTTATTATTGTTTTGGAGGGATTATTATTAGGTGTGTGGAATAAGGAAACTTGCTCAAGGTTTCGCCCTGACCTGCCTGGAATTGAACCCAGGTGTCTCGCTTGCAAAGCGAGTTTTCTAACCACTGAGCTACAGGACTCCACAGTCTAGAGTAAACATATCTAAAGTGCAACCCCATAATAACATGGTTCTTTATAGTGCGAATTTTGTTCTAACATGGTTATAATAATAATTGTTAAATTTGGTATTGCACCTTTCACTTCGGGAGAACATCTCAAAGTACTTCACAAGATTTACTGTTAAGTGATGTGACGGTATTTTGGGGGATGAACACAAAGCCAATTTGCACACAGGAAATCGAGCACAGTGCAGTGTTATTGTAGTGTAGACTTCATTCCCTGAACATGTGCACAATCTTCCCACATGCAGGTTGCCTTGCGCCTAAATGGCTGGCTTCTGGGTGATTGGGTCACCATCTATGCCACTTCCTGCTTTCTTGCACTTGTGCAGAATAGGAAATGACATCGATGATGACCCAGGGGTAAGCCATTTTAACTCCACACTAAAACATTACCATTTTCCTTTCGTACCAAGAATCGGTTTATTTACATTTGGAATTTTTTAGAGGTCTTTTCTAGTCCAGTAGATTCTAATTCTTGTATCCTAATTGTACATTATTTTGTACTTTACCAGATCCAGACCACAGCTACATCCTGCAGTTCCAGCATATTCTGCAGGTAGGTGACCCCTTGCAAATCACAACTGACAAACTTGCACATAAATCGCTTTGGAAGCAACATATCAAAAGTGGTCTAAACGATGGAGCTTGATTCTGTATGCTCCTCCTGCTGGGGTGTTGATAGAATTGCAGTATTGAGAAGTTAGTGGGAGAAATTTCAGAACTTAAACTGATAAAAGTGTCACTCTGGAGTATGTACTACTCTGCCTTGAAAATTCTGTAAATTAGCAATTCTGAGAAACTTCCCAGGATCTGCAACAATCCTGCACATTCTCACTGAAAAGAAGAGGAATCAGCAAACTAGCAGGGCTACGGTCACACCTGTATTTGCGTTCTCTTTATTTATTTAATAAAATGCTGTTATGCTTGATACCATCTGCAAGTTCTTTGTTCATAATCCCTTTTAGACTTCCATATTATTTTCTTTGTCTTGTTTTGCATGACTTCTAGGCATCTGAATGTTACTGATATGGAAACACAGCCCAGCATTGTGATAGAAATTTGTCAGTAAAGTGACAAAGATGTCAAGTTTGGGGAAACTGGGGGAGCAACTGTTTCCCCCAATGCTAATAAGATGGTTGCAATGAACCAGCAATGAGCTTTGTTCGATATTTCCCTTATGTGTAAGCAGCAGTTTCCCATTTAAAATGCTTTCTTTTTATCAATTTATTGCCAAGTTAATTGCAAACCATGAAACACTATTCTCGTGATTCCATTTTTTTTAATGTTGTCTGCGTAGAAGGATTTGACTTTGATAAAATTCACACACATTTCCAGTTGGAAAGGGATTGTTGCTGTTTAATGAGTATCTAACTGGTCTATCTCAGCAATATATCAGATTTCTGAAAAGATCATTGGGCTGGAATGAAGCCCAGGCAAATGTCTATGCAATTTGTGGTACAGTATAGGTAAAAAGTCCAAAGCTTATAGACATTCTTTTGGAGTTATTTTAAAGCCCATAAAGCATGCAATTTGAAATATAGGATTTCCTGTAATAACATACAGAGGCTGCAAGAATAATAATAATAATCCTTGCATTTAATATAGTGCTTTTCATGTCTTCTAGACATCTCAAAGCACTTCACAGAATAAACTGTAAAGTGAATTGACTGTATATTTGTGGGTGGAATTAAAGTAAGTATTTATTTCTGTTCCAAATGTCATGATTCATTTCCCTTAGAAATTCTTTAAAAAATACTGGTCACTCAATCCACAGTTTGTGAGACACTGCTGTGTGCAATTGGCTGCCACGTTTCACCCACAAAATATACAGTCAATTCACTTTACAGTATATTATGTGAAGCGCTTTGAGACATCTCAGAGACTTGATAAGGTGCTATATCAAATGCAAGGATTATAATATTAGTATTATAGTACAAGCCCATGGAGATCCCACTTACCTTTCCTTGCATTCACCAGAAGGATATTTACTATTGGACATGATAATAATCTATTGACATCAAAAAGGTGAAGGGCAGAAAGGTACCATCACTTCTTAATGCAGAACCTCTAACACCATTACTCAGTCACTTGAACCACATGAGGTGCGAACCCAGATTTCCCAGGCAGGGTGAAACCTTCAGACACATTTCCTTACTCCACACTACTCTGTTGATCTAGCAGTAAGTAGAAACCCAGTTGTTAGTCAATTGGCAGATTGCTATCCGATACTAATAATCCAGCCAAAAAAAACGCGACAGCCAATTGTGAACAGCAGTGTCTCACAAATAGTCGCTATAGATACTCTATCCTCCATTATAAATCCTGAAAAGAGAGAGTGCACAGGATTACAAAACATTTTGCCCTCATTTTTCTCCCAGCCGCTAGACAAAGAAATGTAATTCTGATTTTGTTTAGTGAAATGAGATCAGATATTTAATACTTATATATTATTTTAAGTTTGCTACTTATTCCACTTGCTTTTCAACAAGTTTTATTTTGATTGACAAATCTATTGTTCTATTTGATCCAAAAACACACACAAAGTAGTATTTTTCAAAGATCTATGTATCCATGCTTTAAGAAGGTGACTATGCTATGTAGGTAGCCTTGGAGAGTGCTGTGGTGCTGCACTATCACAAAGGAGATAATTCTCCAGTCATCAGTAAATTTAAAGTCCATGGCAGATGAGAGTGTGGTATTCTCCGCTGGCCCATAAATTTACAGAGCTCAGCGGTCTGAGTTTATAATGGATTTCCCAAGGTCTGTAAATTTCCTGACTACCAGAGAATCACCCCTAAGGTGCCTGAGTGGGACAATAAGGATTTCATGTTTTTTTCTAGCGTGTATGTCTCTATCCGCAATAATAAATCTTCAACACCTCGAGGCTGTCTCCAGTTTAAGGTGTTGCACTGCCGAGGTATGTCAGCACATTATTAAAATATTGCGCAATTATTTAAAGCTATATGACTGTGCATTAAAGTGGTTTACACTCCAATGACTACAATTTTTCACTGTCCTTTCTCATTCATTTTAGAAGTGTCGAACCACAACAAATTTAACCCCCAAAGGAATTTTATAATCTCTTAGGATTTAAAATACATTTTTGAATATTTTCACAAAAATCTTTCTCAAACATACTAAGCTTGGTTACAGATAAACCTGCTATTTTTCAAAAGATAGGAGGTAGAAATCTGTTGTTATGTTAATGTGAATATTAGACTTCATTGTGTTTTCTTTAAATAATAGACCCCTAAAACAAATAAAAGCAACTGTCACATAATTTCAAGGCTCACATTATACTGTGAAAATGTTAATATTTTGGTGCGAAGGTTAATTTGGTAAAATAGGTTGAATATTCTTCTCTGTCCAGGCTGGGTGAGAGCAAATAAGCAGATAGTAGGGTCATGCACTGCACAGAGGATCATAACATAACCCAAGTGAAGGCTTTCTGCAGAGTTGCTGGTTCACTGGCGAGTCCTTTAACACCACAAACCGCAGCACCGCAGAGGGAAATAATAATCCTTACATTTAATTTGAATGATACAGATGGAAGGAGTGGGGGATAAAAACTTGGCTGTTTTACTTACAAAAAGTGGAGTCCTGTAGTGTATTGATTAGAGCACTGGCTTCGCAAGCTAAAGGACCTGGGCTCGATATAAATGACCCAGACTTGGGTATAGGGAGTACAATTTCCAAGTTTGCAGATGATACTAAGCTAGGAAATGTAGTAAACAGTGAGGAGAATAGTAGCAGACTGCAAGGGGAGATAGACAGACTTGTAAAATGGGCAGACACGTGGCAGATGAAGTTTAATGTGGAGAAATGCAAAATGATGCATTTTGGAACGAAAAATAAGGAGAAGCAATATAAGCTGATGGTAAATCTTAAAGGGGGTGAAGGAACAGAGAGACCTATGGATTCATATAAGTAAATCTTTGAAGGTGGCAGGACAGGTAGATAAAGCTGTTAAAAAAGCATATGGGATACTAGGCTTCATAAATAGGGGCATAGAATACAAAAGTCAGAAAGTTATGATGAACCTTTATAAAACACTGGTTAGGCCTCAGCGAGACTACTGTGTTCATTCTGGGCATCACACTTTAGGAAGGATGTCAAGGCATTGGAGAGGATGCAAAGGATATTTACCAGGACGGTACCAGGAATGAGGGACTTCAGTTATCAGGAGAGGCTGGAAAATAGGATTATTCTCCTTGGAGCAGAAATGGTTAAGAGGAGACTTAATAGAAGTTTTCAAAATTATGAGGGGATTCGATAGGGTGAACAAGGAGAAACTATTTCCACTGGTGCATGGGTCTGTAACCCGAGGACACCAATTTAAAACAGTTGTTAAAAGAAACAGAGGGGAGGTGAAGAGAAATGTTTTCATACACCAAGTTTTTCATATCTGGAATGCATTGCCTGAAAGGAAGCCAATAATCGATAACAACTTTTAAGAGACAAGTAGATACTTATTTGGGGAGGACAAGTTTGCAGGGCTATGAAGAGAGAGCGGGGGAATGGGATTGATTTGGAAGCTCTTTTCAAAGAACTGGCACGGATACGATTAACCGTATGGCCTCCTTCTGTTCTGGATAATTCCATAATTGTAATGATTCCCGGGCAGGGCAAAGCAATAGGCAAAAGAGTAGTGTGGAGTAAGTTTCCTTACTTCACATGCCTCTGTTTACCTAGCAGTAATTAGAAACCCTGTTGTTAGTCGATTGGAGGGGGATAATAATCTCTTTTAAAAAATACTTGGGCACTCAATCCATGACTGTTCGTGTGCAATTGGCTGCCACAAAGTATCGAAGATATGATAAGGTACTATATCAAATGCAAGGATTATTATTAAAAAAAGGCTTCAGTTCTGTATCCGTTATTGCTACACACACGGTGGTACTTGTGTGGTACAAGTAAGCATTACAGATGACACTTCTAATCCAATGAACTCATCAATTCGATTATACAGGTTCACTTATGCCTGTCTCTCTATGTTACTTAAACCTTCACCTTTAGTCCATTTTCATTAAGAATATAAGAAATCGTGAAATGAGAAAGTGCTATTTTGATACAATACAATTTACATTTTTATAGTGGCTTTGGGAGGATATGGAAAAAGCTTACACACTCTGGCTGGGGTGATGAGAGCTGAAGAGGGGTGGGGATAGGAAAGATGACCAAAAGCATGGAAAAATCATTCGTAGAGATGAAGTGATGGTGGTTAAGTATGACTTGAACCACACAAATACGATCCAAATGAGATGGAGAGGAGAGGTAGTGTAGGATGGCATGATTGATTGTGTTGAACACAGTGGAGAAATCCAGGAGGACAAAGAGGAAGAGGATTTTATTTGTGACTTTGACAACTGCTAACTCCGTGCTGTGGGCAGGGCAGAAACTGGATTTGAGGGGCTTGTGGAGGGTCAGTTGAGACCAAAATTGATTTGCAACAACGGATTCCAGAACTTTAGCAAGGAAAGGGGCAAGTTAGAAATGGGATGGTAGTTTGTAAGGTTAGAGGGATCAAGGATGAGTTTTTTGAGTAGGGGAGTGGGAGTAGAGTCCTGTAGCTCAGTAGTTAGAGCACTCGTTTTGCAAACAAGAGACCTGGGTTTGATTCCCAGCAGGGTAAAACCTTGGGCAAGTTTCCTTACTCCACACGCCTGATAAGAATCCCTCAACAAAAAACAATAACAATTTGGTCACTCAATCCACGACTGTTTGTGGGACAATGCTGTGTGCAATTGGCTGCCACGTTTTGCCCACAAATATACAGTCAATTCACTTTACAGTCTATTCTGTGAAGTGCTTTGAGACATCTAGAAGACGTGAAAAGCGCTATATCAAATGCAACAATTATTATTATTATTATGACAGCGGTTTTGAAGGGGAGTGAAATGGAGCCTGAGGAGAGGAACCAGTTGACTGTGTTCTGCCAGCAAGGACCAGAGGAGTCAGAGTTGAGTGACCAGCAGCTGGGTGGGGAGGGAGTCGAGGTAGCAGGTGGTGGGCTTCATATGGGTGATGATGGTTGAGAAGGAGAAAGGAGAGATGGGGGCAAAATAATAATTTTTGCATTTGATATAGCACTTTTCACATCTTCTAGGTGTCTTTAAAGCGCTTCACAGAATATACTGTAAATTGAATTGACTGTATATTTGTGGGCGAAAATGTGGCAGCCAATTGCGCACAGCAGTGTCCCAAAAGAATATAAGGTGGGGGCAGTGGTAGAAGCTATAGCGGAAAGAGAGAGTGATGTAGAAGGAAAGGGTGGGGGAGATGCTAAAGGACATGTCGGAGGAAGAGAAGGCAGCCAGGTGGATGCTTTCTATCTGTGAGATGAAAAAGTCCAGGACTTCTTCGCACTTGGCGTTAGATGTGAGGATGTGAGGGGCTTGCGGTGGAGGTGATGAACGGTGGATTACAGCACTCGGGGTTATTTTGGGCCTAACATGTCAGGAGGTTTAACAGTGTTGCCAGTTAGTACTGTATGTGTGCACACATATACTTAAATAATAATAGACACATGAGGTTTCTATGAATCAATAATTACAGTAAATACAAACAACAGTTTAGATATAATCTGCTGTCTTTTCTGGATGATTGGACCATCTGCCTACCAGGAGCATCACAGAAATTTAAATTGTACCAGTCATATAATGATAATATAGAAATAATCCTTGCATTTGATATCTTGCATTTGCACCTTATCACATCATTGAGACATCTCAAAACGCTGCACAGAATCTACTATGAAGTGGTTTGACTATATATTTTGAGGGTGATACACGGTAGGGCACAGCAGTGTCTCACAAACAATCATGAATTGAGTTACCAAATTATTATTATTTGTTATAATTCTATTCCCAAAATATCACCTGTGGCACAAACGATCTTTAGATTCACTATCTCTTGGCCTGGTGTAGGCAGTGGAAAACATACTATTTCCACTTACAAACTATGCATTTGCACCCAGATTCTCAGACCTTGGCTATATTATATTGATGTATTAACAACAACTTCACCAACAAATAACTTGCATTTATACAGCACCCCTCACACAGGATGGTGTCCCATAGCGCTTATCAGTCTTTGCAGCACTTTGCAGTGAGTCTTTATTCTTCTCCATTCTGAAACTTGTGGTACGTCTCTACTTATTGCATATAATGGAATAAATGAAAAAAAAGCATTCAAATACTGGGTACAGACAGTATAATAAATTGATAGACTAAGAGATTTGATTTCATTGTAACATTGCCAACTTGAATATATACATTCTTGGTGTGGAGTCTGTTTCATGCACTATTTTTAAGCATTGTCATTTCGACAAGGAGTAATCCAACACTACTGTTCAAAAGATGTATTTTATCAGATTCTTTAAAACAATCCATGTATTCCAAATATGATTTCCATTCTTTTATATAATATGTGGTGCTTTGATTTTCCTGAATACATTATTTAGTTTCCAGTATAATTATCCGATTATATAAGTCTCTACATCATGAGGACATTCAATTGTTAATGGATTCATTCTGATATGGATTATCATCTGAAATGACACTTCACCATTGCTTCAGTACATGGTTTCACTAAATTGGATGAAGTTCACATTTATTGAAACAAAATTATGACATGTATATAATTATAAGGGAAAATGCATTTGTGGAAATGGTATGTTTCACCAAATGACTTGTGACGAAAATTTGAATAATGGATGCAAATTGTTAGTTCCGTTAAACTTTCAGTGACTTTCCAAATGTCAAAAATACATAATACGCAACTAAAGTTTGAAATAATGAAATGCTGCCCTCCACCCCCAGAGCAGTACATGAAAGAATGTAGGACCCTTCCTCTTTAAACTATTGTTAGACATTACACACACACTTTTTTTAAATCAAACTTTAAAATTGTACTTCCTAATTTTTAAAAAATAAAAATTTAATTCAGCTGCAGTACATTCTGTAATTCAGTGCTCCAAGACGCTGCCCAGCTTGAACGGCTCTATATAAATGTTGTTGTCGTGTTGTTGCATTTGGATTGTATCTATTTGTTGAGCGCTTTGAGACATCTCAACGTGATAAACCATTATATCAAATGCAAGGATTATTATAGATAGAGCAGCTCCTCTCCTAATGAATATGATAGCAGATTCTACTGAGTTTTCATTGTTGCTCCTGCAGTTTGCCTTTGCTTTGTTTCTTCTTTACAATAAATCAGCATTCCCAATATTCACGTAATGTCCTTTTTAACACAAGTTGTCCCACATAGTTGTGTTGCCACGCTGGTCAGCAGATGTTTTGAGTTCCTTGTAAATAGGGAAACTGCTCCAAACTCATCAAAGTCAAATAGATCCAATAATAGGGTGAAATTTGTGACACTTTATATTGCATTTCTCTCAAGAAACATGTTATGAAATGCTTCAAATTTCATCCCAATATGTATTAACTTAATTTACCTCCAAAGTTTCATTTTACATTTTAAATTTATTTCATTCTAATTTCTTTGCCCGGTGTTATACTGTAAGCAATGTCTCAAGTCACCCACAAGTAAATTATGGATTGATTTTAGATACCGTTTAATAGAAAGAATAACAGAAAGATGGAAAATCTATGCTTACAATAAAATTTATATATATTAGAAAAATACAATGGAATAAATAACAGTCTTATCTTTCCAGTTATAAAACAAGTCTGGTCACCTAGAGAAGGTTTCTTGTCCTTCTTGACCATACTTCATACAGTGGAATTTCACTGTGTGGTTATAACAGCAAAAAGTAGTAAGATTGTATCTTTATAGCATCTTATCAACTTGAAAGGTGTGAAAGTCGGTTATTGTCTAGTGTAGTGACCGTATTTGTAAACAAACGTTGAAACAATTTGTGCAAATAAAGTTCTGCAAACAGCTATTGAAGTGGATGATCAATCTAACTGGAGGATTATTGGCCAGGACATAAGGAGAAATTGTTTCTCTTTAGAAATAATATGATGGGATTTTTAACATGGCAGGGAAAGAGGACCTTGGCTTAAGGTGGGACCTGCAATGAATATCAGCCTAGAAAGCTGATAAATAAGGTGTCTCTCTGTCAAACATTTCAATCCTTATTTGATTAATTATTTTACTTTGAATTTAGTCTTGTGGAATTATCTGAGCAATGAAAATCCTGAAGAAGAATATTTGATGACATGAATAATCTTGTTTATAGTTCAGCAATAGGACCCGAGAACTGGTTCCAGCCTTTCAGCAACTCAGAAATATTTGATGCTATATTTTATATACTCGAGTGTCTTTCTTCAATTATACAATGAGGTGTATAACGTGTACAAGATGTTCTGAGCTGTCAGCATTTTATCATGAGTGCCCAAGCCTCCAGGGAAAGTGCCTTGTTCGTGGAACAATACTATGCTGCTTAAATTGGAGAATGTCAGGATTAACAACTGCAAGCCATTCTTATAATTTACTCTTAACAAATCATTTTAATTTTATATTTGCTTATATGGCCCAATTTGTTTCAATTTCCAGAGCCAACTGCAAGAAACAACCATCGGTGGACATCCAAAACATTTGTAAGTATTATTCGTTTCACACTTTGAAAGTAATACTGTATCTGGATTCCTGTATTATTGCAATATCCTGTAGTCAGCCTACTCTTAACTTTATATGCAATATATCAAAGTGTAAGTGGTAAGGATTGTATGCTTCCAAACATATATATGAACAGGAGCTTTTGAAGAGCAGTTTCACTGATTTCCTCCTCCCCCCCACAAACCAATTTTATTTGATCACATTCTATTCAACTGTATGCACTGATTCCTGGTAAATGTAAAACAAGGGGCGTTATGTGGATTCAAGCTTATATTGAACTACATCTTCACTTCTATTATGCCACAGTTAACACATTTTGATTCTTTTCGCTCCTAAAGCAAGAACACAATTTATTACATATTTTTCTCAGGTAGAGAACATTCTTTTAAGTCTGAAAAATCTTCTACTTATTTGAGAAGAGAAGGTACATTGAAAACTTCAAATCTATGTGAAGGTGGATGGTGGAACAAAAAAACTAGACTGGTCCCCAGAACACAGATAGGTCCTGTGTAGTTGATGATTTGAATTGCTGGGAGCATCTGTTTAAATCATCTCAGAATTTAATTGGCCATTATTAGGAAGAGAGTTACATGTATAATAATAATCATCGCATGTGATACAGTGCCTAATCATGTCATTGAGACATCTCAAAGTGCTTCACAGGATTTTATTGTAAAGTGTAGTGACTGGATATTTTTAGGCAATTTGCACACATCAATGTCCCACACACAGCTAGGAAGTGAATTATCGTTGTTGTCTGGGGCATTATTGGCCTAGGAGATAGATTTGGAGTTTGAAACAGCAATTTCAGGACAGATGCTAGGAAGTTTTTCTTTACCCAGGGGTAATTAACAACTGGAACAGGTTGCCACGAAAGATGGTTGAGGCCAGTAAATGGGATTTATTTCAAAACTAGCTCGGTGCTGTAATGGGAAGAATGCAAGGTGGGTATTCTGGAAGAATGGGATTCGACAGGCCAAAGGCATTCTTCATCCAAACTTATCTTGTGATCTTGTGACACCTGGAGAAACTGTTCTTTTTTAGAATAGTGCTATGGGATCTTTAACATTTACTTGATATTTCAGGTTATTCAATCAAAGTGTGCATCATCAATTACTGTTTCAATTTAACTATTCAATGTTCGATCTGCAATACATAATTCTTAATCAATTGCAATTTTCTCAAAAATCCAATATTGGATGTCAAAATTATCACATCATTCGACATTCTGCTCATACCAATGTCCCAGGTGATTAATGGCTACAGATAACTTACTTCCCCTCCACACCTCCACTCCAACTTTGTTAATATGATACCCAGATTCCTGGTAAATGTAGAAGGAAGAAGTTATGTGGATTCAAGTTTATATTGAACTACATCTTTATTTCAATTATGCCAAAATTAACACATAGCTCCTTTGACTCTTCTCTCTCCTAAAGCAAGAATACAATAAATTACACATTTTTTATCATGAATAGAACCACCTTCGAATCTGCTGCCCCTTGGATCACTGCATTCCAAAGCTGGTGCATGGAATTAACCCAAATTATAAAGTAGAACTGATCTATAATAAAAAATTACATAAATCATGGCAACATAAAGGCAATTGTTGCTACAGTATCATGGCACAATGTTTGGCATGGCTCTTCTGTCCCTTTTTGTCTCATTCCTTCAATTTACTTTTGTCAAACCCTTTTATATACAGTACATGTGTGAAGACAGCATCCTTTTAAAATTCTGACAGCAGTAGAACACATTTAGAAATTCACCAGTGCACATCATTGCCCCGGACTTGACAAAGCTGTCCATAATAGCACTGCCTAACAGGTACTTGAGCAGAAAAGTGCTTTCAGTTTTCTATGACTATGCATCAAATAAATATTGATCTCAAACCTGAAATCAATCAAACTCCAGGAAAGATATCCACGTAGAAGGTGTCTAGTTTTCATTGCATCTGGCTTCCAGTTTGTTGAGAGTAAATATCTGCCAGAGGCTGTAACTTTCCTTCAAATAGTTTCATTAGAACAGCAGCACATCATTGTCAAATGGACACTTCCTTTTATATGCAACATTTACCAACAGAATTGAGAAAATGTTTGCAATCCATAAATCCTGGTGAAACATTATAAAATAATTTTGTTTTATTCTGTTGTTTCTAAAATGTATCTGTGCTCCTACGATCATCCAAATAAGGTCAATTTGTGAATGAAAATGGAATAATGTGCAGCCTGCACTCTGAAAGGTCTATTAGACAAGGTCATGTCAACACAAGTTATTATCACGATATGCTACTAGGTGCAGTACTGTCAGGTAATTAAATCACGTAACCTCATTCTGAAAATCTCATATTGACTGAGTGGTTCTGTGACAAGTCATGATTATTGCATCCATAAATCAGCCAATGTTTTTGTTCCTCAGTTGTTTAAGATCAGAAAAAGGTGTTAAAAGGTGATTTGTGCTCGAAATTCTACTGAGTTCCTTTCTTAGTGATTCAGTGCTACTAAAACTGTACATATTAGATGTGAGATACATAAAAAAGAAGTGATTCACATTGGAGCCCAGCTGCTAAGACTACCTTCTGACAGTAGTCTCAACAGGACATCCATTCACTCCATTGCAAAATAAATTCAGACATTGCAAATCATTTCAGCCTGTGCACAGAAATAGTGCTTTGAATGTCTTGGGTGCTCTTTTTAATGTATTTAAAGAGCTGGTTGTATGACTGCATCTTCAGTAACAACACTAAAAGCGAACTTTGTTGCGCTTGTGCAGAACTCTTTTCAGCTAAGCAAAAGCATTCTTGAGCAATTTCTCAATCTTACTGTCTCCATTTTTAAAAATAATTTCAACAATGTAAGATGGGCATTGGTTTTACCAATTGATAAAAAAGGGTTGAATATTGCTTAGCATTGAATATGGAGACTGTTATATGGGGAGCTACTGCATATGAATTTCGGTGGTATGCAATCTGCTCTCTATTAAGTGTTCGCTTTAGCTGGTTGAACTCTACAAGCACACTAATGCACATTTCAGATCCCCAAGCCTTGTCTCTTGCTATCCTGCACCTAATGCTTTCCAGAATTCAGTGAGCTGGGTAAAGCCCTCCAGGGAGAGAGTACGCATTCCATTCCAGCTAAAGTGAAATTTCCAGGCAATTGTGGAACTCCCAGTCAAGGTTTGGATTGTGATAAGCATGGTGATGCATTTCCACATGTATCAGACACCCGACTGACCAAAGAAGAAAAAGTCCATGTAAGGTAGCAAATACCAACATCTCTGGACCGATGTGCCTGGCAGGAGCATTCAATAGTGTGTCTTAGCAGAATGTTACATTGCAGAAAAGACCCTACAGTTAGTAAAATGGGGAATGTATCACTTGTAGCTGTTTCCTTAAGTGTATGTAACTTCAGACAGTGAAGGAGAATAATTTATAAAATCATGAATCCATTTTTTACAGCTTTGCTTAAAAAATCCTTTTGTTTCTGCAGATAAATTAAATTAATTCATGTCAATAATTATATCAACAGCTGATAAGTAAACATTATTCACTTTAATTTTCAGATTGTTTTATTATTTGTGCATAGGAGCCCTCTATTTTCCAAAAGGATGCTCAAATGTTGTTTGCCTATTCATTGTTTAGCTGTTGGCCACATGCTTGCTAACAGTTCATTGTGGGTGACTTTCAGTGACATTGATGAAGTTCATGTCCAATGGAAAAGTCTCAGCTGTAAACATTGTCAATGTCACTGCGTTGAAAGACAAGTGGGAAATCACCCCATTGTTACTTAGATAAAATGTCAAACCTTACTGCAACTGGAATCTGAATAGTTCAGCCTTAGGATGGGAAGCATGACTGAGTCTGGTATTTGTCACTTTCTTTGGAAAAACTTTTCATGACATGAACCGTGACTAATGCTACCATTACACTACAGATCTGCTGACAACCCACCTTGTGGTGCCTGTGGCAGAACACTTTCAGACACGGTTAATGCTGCTTTCATTGGCCAAAATGCAGCAGTGATGGATATTTGTTTTGTGCATACAAAATACAGTATATCATTACCTGCACAATGCAGTGATTCCACAAGTTTTAAACAAAATTCTGATTGACAATATTAAGAATCTTTCCATTTGATACAGCAACTTTCACATCAAGGGATGTCTCAAAGAGCTTCATAATAATCCCTCAAGAAAACAAAACAATAATAAATTGGTCACTTCAATCCACAACTGTTTGTGGGACACTGCTGTGTACAATTGGCTGCCGCATTTTCTCCCACAAATATACAGTCAATTCACTTGACAATCTACTCTATGAAGCGCTTTGAGATGTCTAGAAGACGTGAAAAGTGCTATATCAAATGCAAGGATTATTATTATTATAAAGTGTAGTGACTGTGGATTTGTTGTTTGACTGCAGCAGCCAATTTGCCCACAGTAATGTCCCACAAACAGCCATGAAGTGAGTAACCAATTTTATTTGGCAAAACTATGAAAAGGGTGGATTAAATTTGTCTGATATTTTGCTATTTGGAGGTCAGTGATCGAGAAAAATAATAGGAATTGTCATAGAATGTATAGTGTTATCAAATCGCATATGAGATAAGATGAGCAAAACCTGGACATTGCAGGGATATTGGAATCTAAAAGTCTAGGTCTGCACTGCGAGTGACAAATTGCAGGTTCACCACCTCAAGGCGCAGCCAGAGACCAGAATTAAAGAAGCACAAATCCTGTGCCAATAATCCTGTTTGAAAGATAAGAATTTGCAATCATTCTTTTTCACCTCACATAAATGGAGACTGAAGAGTTGCTCTGCAACATGTCCTTTATCTTTGCAGAGGAAATTATACTTTGAAGGTGATGAACATCTCTTTGGATGATAAAGTTTATTTTAAGAAGGAAAATTATATCATGCTTTGTTATTGGTTATCAGATGCTTTGTGCAGATATTGTGCATAAATATCATTTAAGGTTTAAATGTGCAAAGGGTAATGCTGTTTGAAATATATTTTGTTGTTAGTGAGAATACTAAAACAACCACAGTTACAATTTAAGTCAATATATAAAGTTACCTTAATTCTGGCATCTCTTGTATTTATCTCCCACAGACATGGGAAAACAAGCTGTTCAAAATTTTTCTTCCAGGGTGGGTTGCTGGAAGGATAAGATCAGATTGACCAGAGGGCCTTCTTCATTCTAACCTCTCGTGTGGTCTTATGATCTTAACTTCTAAAAGAGATGCCACAAAGCGATCAAAAAGCATCCTTCCTGTGGCAATTGCTTCCTTGTTACGACTCACTAAAGTACATCTAAAAATACAGCACCTGATATGATGCACAGGAAGTGTCAAACTATTCAAGTGTAACCTTTAAAGGATTACATCTTATTCTACAGTCAGTATTGCAAGATAGAGCTTGCTTCATGTTGCATAATTTAGATCAAAGCTTTGCAGGACTGCATCACAATTCATACGTGTGGTATTATTGTTTGGTTTTCCTGTAATGTAGCAATTACTGTATGTTTTCCTGCAAGATAGTCTCATTCCAAAAATGTTTTTTACTGTGTATGGCAATTTTATGAAGAAAGTATTAAGTTTATTTGTAATGAACCTTTGGTAAAAATGGGCCTGATTTCTGCAACAATGCTATTATAATTGACTTCATGGCTATTTGTGGGACATTGCTGCGTACAAATTGGCTGCTGCATTTTCCTATAAAATCTTTTCCCGACATAAAAAGGCACTGTATCAAATGAAAGTATTTTTTATTATTATAAAGATAGTGGCCATGTCTTAGACTTATGAAATACTGCATTGTGTTGCCCATATAGTGTTATAGATATGTATTTAAATCATATTCTTTTAGCCAAATACAGACAATAATAAAGACAAATTGAATATAGTAGTTGAAGGTATATTTCAGTATATTTCATTATTCTTTTTTATTGGGGTGGAGGGAGGAGTTAAACTGGGTCTTCTTAAAGCTAAATTGGCTCCAAAGTACTTAGCATTGGAAAGTTTGAAGTAAGGCAGTTCTCTGTGATGGTTCTGGTCATCTGTTTGCTGAACCAGGTGTATCCACAGTTCTCCAAAGCACTGCAGGACTTGGAGGGACAGTCACTGAGTTTGTGTTAAGCCTGCAAATTAATAGGTAGGTTTGGTTCTAACTGAACAGGAAGCTTGCCATACAGTACTCTTATCTGATAATACTCTTAAAGGCAAGCTATGAGGTTTTAGCAGAGTACCAATGCACACTCTGGGTTTCATAAGTCTTCACTTTCACCAAACTGCATTTAATACACTCCAGAATTAGTGAGCAGGGTGCATCCTTACAGGGAGAGAGTGCAGACACAGAGAAAGTTTAAGGTGTGGATGCCATATATGTGGAATTCTCAGTTTAGTTTGGACATTGTTAAGCATGGTGATGGGTTTCTGCATGTTTTGGACAGCCAGCTGACCAGAAAACAAACTGCTTCAAGGGTTTTAATCGCAGATTGCCTAGAAATCTACTTATAAATGACTGATTTTCTTATATGTTGCTAAAATTGTGTTAAAATATCTGTGTTTGTGTGCACATTTGCAGCCAGATGGATGCAACACAAGGATGATGATTGAAGATGAATCTGAATACGAAATCCCTATTGAGGATAGTGATCAGGAACTTAGCTATGATTATGTAGTTTCATCCAGCCTGGACGATCTGCGACATGTGAAAATTTGTCCTGCAAAGCCAATAAACATGCAGTCAGTTTATGCAGGTGAGATTTTATTCATGCACTGATAGTAATATTTGGCTATATCAAAATTCAAGGATAATTATTATTATTATTTTAGGATACTAACTATAAAACATTCTTAAGGTTAAACACAGAGCATGGATCATTGTTTTGCTGAAGTTAAGAGGAATATTTTATGCTTAGGCCCATTATAAAGAAGCAGTAAAACAATTGCTATTTTTGTGATCAATATCAGCAGGACTTGGAGTCCTGTAGCTCAGTGGTTAGAGCACTTACCTCACATGTGAGAGACCTGGGTTCGATTCCCAGCAGGGCAAAACCTTGAGCAAGTTTCCTTACGCCACACACCTGATAATAATCCTTCAAGAAAAAAAACAATAATAATTTGGTCACTCAATCCACGACTGTTTGTGGGATGCTGCTATATGCAATTGGCTGCCACATTTTGCCCACAAATATACAATCAATTCACTTTACAGTATATTCTGTGAAGTGCTTTGGGACGTCTAGAAGAGGTGAAAAGCGCTATATCAAATGCAAGGATTATTATTATTCTTATATTCCGTGAAATGCTTTGAAACGTCTCAAAGACGTGAAAAGTACTATATCATATGCAAGGAGTATTATTTTTATTGATAAGACCTACAAAAAAATTTTCAGACCCAATTTTTTTAAATCAATGTGTGGAAAACAAATTAAGGGATATGGGGATAAGGCAGGGTTAGGTTGTTAGCTGAAGTTAGATTAGAAGATCAGCCATGATTGAATGGCAGGGCAGGCTCGAAGGGCCGAATGGCCTACTCCTGTCCTACATGTTATGTTATGTTAAAACCTGAATTTAAGAATTTTGCAATATTTTGCACAATTATAAATTTTAAAACAATGGTCCTAGGACAAAGACCAGGAGAAATTTCAGCTCTCTGATGTGTGTCTGAGTGTTATTAAATATGAAACATTACTCCTCCTATGTTTCTTTGGGTGAATGCAAGGATTATTTTATATGTTAATGAGCCTTGTCAATCAGAATTAGATCACTACTCTGTGCATGTCTTACTGACAGCAGCCAAATGAGTAATAGGAGTGCTTCACCCAGGCTCAAAATCTAATCATAGGTACGTGTGTGTGGTGGGTAGTGGCGGAGGGTGGGTGGTGGTGGAATCAGCCCAGCCCTGTTTCTGATTGTTAATATAATGTAATTCCTGGAAAGTCCATGTACATGACATTAGCTGAGGACAGAATTTAGCTGTGATGTCCTTTGTGGTTGAATACCCCATAACCACTCATTGACTAGATTCACACGTAAAGAATGATCATATCAATGAGTCACTATAGCGCTGAGAATGCTCATGGGATAAATCCCATACATCTTTAAGAGAGGAAAAAGAAGTTGGGAACACGAGAGGAAAAAAAAGATGGAAAATGTAACATTAGAGCTTTCAGGCTTTGTACAGCTGGAAAGATTTACAGCTCTCGAGAAATATTTTTCTCGTACAGTTGAACCAATACATGAAGATTGAACATTCTTGCCCTCTACTGATCGGCTGCAGCTAATGCTGAGTGTATGTGTATTGGAAGATTCTGAAGTCAGCTCCAAATGAAATTGTTTCTGCTTGTTTCTTTCTTACAGTGAACACAAACTTCTAAACACCCAGATCATTCTTCACATTGCTAAATATTTGTGACGTAACTACTCCAAAACCATTGAAGATTTATTGTATATTTTTAAAAAGCTCAACTATAATTTGAACTCACTGCAAAGATTATGATTTGCTTGTACGACGGTTAGGAAATGATTAACTTCAAGTTACCGTATTTCAATTTTATTGTGCTGTGTTGTGCTCTCAATAGTTTACTACCTCATCTAACAAAGTCCATATGACAACAAGGAAACTAGTTTATAGTCTGTGTTTAACCCACTGTTACATATCAAAAACAATTCACAAGGTATTGATGCTTATAAAGCTAGATATCAGATTACTGTGTAGCTATGCTTGAATACATTTTTCTCAGTTTTGATTGAAAAGCAATTATTTTTATTCACCACTTCAGTTTCTGCTGTAATATTCAGATACATTGCAGAAAGTGATATGAATATGAAATGTGCTCCTTTTTTAAACATAATAAGCATTGTACAGCCTGACTAACACATTTGGAATTGTATTACAGTTGAATAAGGCTTCAGAGTTATTATAAAGGCTCATGAATTGAACAAAGAAACCCCTTGGAATTTTGTTTTCTTTATCATAACAGACAAGAATTGTTTACCATCTTTGCCACCTACACGCGTTCCAATGGATAGACCAGCCCTGTTTCAACAACCTTCAGGGGTTATTAGACAACATTCAATGTTGAATGTTCAACCCAACACATACTGCGGGAACAATAACAATGTAAGCAGCTTCTTTAATTGTATCTGATCATAACTGCCTCCGTCACATTGTCTGCCTCTGTCCGTACCTCACAACCAAAGCAGCCGTTGTCTTGTCCTTAACGGAACTTTAGAAACAAACACAGAACATTTATTAAAACATGAGATTGGCAATGGTTGTTGTAATATTGCCCAGATTAATAATTATAGTTTAGCCGTTCTACATTAGTTTATAGTAATTAAATCTATTGTCCTTTTGCTTTTACTCTTAGTTAAAAGTTACTTTTAATCTATGCATCCGATGCCTTGATTTTGTAATTTATTTTTCAATATATGTTCTTTTTCTCAATGCAGAGAGGCAAGAATATTTCTGAATCCAACTCACGTTCGGTTATTCAGTTTCCTGGCCCTGAAACTCTTCACCAACCTTCTGAAGGTTTGGCTTCCATTCTTAGCAAACGCACCAATTTCTTCAAAAACTGAAACTCAATTATTTGTGGTTTTCCTGTACTTGACATTTCTTTTGAGGCTTACTTGTTAGTCTCTTGTAGAGCTGACTGCAAGGACTCAGAACAGTTTCCTGTTTTCTGTTTAGTAGTATGCTTTCCGGTATTTTGGTAAAACTGTAATGATGCCATTTTATACAGGGCTCTTTGAGAAATGTGTAGCTTTTTGTGGGGTGGGGTAGGCCGAGTATCTGGCTCATGTGGAAACATATTCTGTCAGTCTGTCTGTCAGTCAGGCACTATATCAAATGCAAGGATTATTATTATTATCAGTCCCATTTTATAAAGCTCTCGTACACATCAATTCCAATGCCATCATCTACCAATTTAGTTATGTTTTGTTGTAGCTAACACTTGCCTCAATTACTTTCTTAGGCAATCCATTCTACATTTTTACTACCCTCTGACTAAAGTAGTCAAAGGGGAATTAAGATCTTATATCAGTATTTTGCGCTTCTGATAAAGATTTATCTCAAAAATATCCTTAAGTTTTAGAGAACTTAAAACTCTAACTCTATAAATCTAAACTGCCTGGTCATCTGCCCCTTCCGATAGAGACCCTTACAAATACCTTTAATTTTACAAAAGACAATTTCTCCCCCACCCCCCCTTACCCCCAACCCCCCATTACCTTTGGGGACTATATACCCAGTGCATTTTTATCGAGATGATATTTTTCTACTCATAAAAGATCTGTGAATAACACACAATATCAGAAGAGAATCTAACTATTAAAAAAACAGAACGTCTGGGTTTGAATCCAGATCTGCGCTGAGTTAAATACAATATAATTGTATTGAGTTTGCTAATCTCAGCCTGACAGCAGTCTGGATACTACAATTTACTTCAGTGCTCCTTGGTTTAAGGGAGGGGAGAATCAGCCAGGGTTCCCAATCCTTATCCAGATATGTCTGCTGGGATTTGCATTTTGTGGAGTGAAAGTACTGGATCGGACTCCGCTTTGCTGCTCCAGCCATTTGATAGCCTGTCAGTGCTCACTGTTAACATTCACACATGAGTAATGGCCACTTAGATGAGGAACACTGATGATTTCAATTCCGTTTCCTCTTTATTGGTGTACAGCAATCATAGAACCATACTCCAGTGGGAGAAAGAGGATTTGAAATTATTTCTGGAATGGAGGAGCGGAAGAGAGACAAATTTATGCAAATTATGGTTGAGCTTGGTCCAATTCCAATGACAAGACACTGTACTTGTTTTATAAATAGCTTGATGTTATAATTGGAAGACAATCAGGTTGAGATTCCAGAACAATGAGATTGTATAGTCCAAGAGCCATCTTCAACCAAGCCTCTTGTGCGATTATGATCTTCGAGTTACAATGTTTACTCAAAGTAAATAAAGAAGACTATTATAACTATTCCATGTGTGATAATAGAGGATTACACTCCAGTCATTCTGAAGCCTTTGATTTTTCTTAGGTCCAAGTGTTGACAGAAGGGCAAAGCCATTCAAGCCAGCAAATGTTTCTCACCAGTCCCCAGGTAGGCTCTTAATGTGTTATATTTTTTTAAAAAAACAGTGAAAGTTTGGTTCACTTCTATCAATAAGCATGTAATTAATTTGCAGTTTTCAGTCTCCATTGAGCTCAGAAGATTTTGTATTTTGAAAGATTGTATATTGAAAAAAAAAACTTTGCAATATTATGGAAGGATTACAAAAAAAGGCTGAAGAAATACAATACAATTTATATTTATATAGCAGCTTTTGCATGGGAGAACATCACAAAACATTTGGCACTGCTGGCTGGGTATCCAACCTGGGAGTGGGAGCAGAATGGGGTGGGAAGGGGAAAAATGACCAGTAGTATGCCAGTCCCCAGGTAGGTCACAACCTACCTGGGGACTGGCAAGAAACATTTGCTGGCTTGAATGGCTTTGCCCTTCTGTCAATACTTGGACCGAAGAAAAATCAAAGGCTTCAGAATGACTGGAGAACGTGAGACCATGTAACTTGAAGGTGATTCCCTGCTTGAGGCCTAAAAGGACTATTGGTTACAACAACAACAACAAAATTACATTTGTAAAGCGTCTTTCACATCGGGAGGACTTCCTAAGGTGCTGAACAGACAGAGTTACGAACAGAGTTATGGTTAACAGTTAAATGGCAGATAGTTACAGTGTACCTAGTCTGCTGTTTTGTTTAATGCTTCAGAAGCCTGGATGGATAGTTCCAACCTGCCCTACTGTAATCTCTAGGCATGATTCATTTTGACAGTTAAACTTTTGGCTGGATTATGAATCTGCTATGATTTATTTGATGATTTGGATGAGAGATTTTTCTTTTACTTTGCAAATATTTATTTTAAGATTGATTATTTGCAACTTTGCATCATATTAATCTTTTCGCTGAAGAGAAAGTTTTGGAATAAACAACACGTCAAGTTATATTAAACAGACCTTAGATTTAAACGAATCTTACTCTTCTCTAATCATCTGTATAATCACCTAATGTCCAATTTAAAAAAATTGAACTATGCTTTTGTCTCAAAGAGATCCAAAGAGATAACTATCTTTTCTGTACCATATCTAAGAATAAGATGCCATGGTTAGTTAGTGTAATAATTGCAGGTCTCAGAAAACCAAAGTATAATACAACTGTTGGTTTATTGTGAGGTTAAGATAAGTTCTAGGCTACAATTTGTAACTGCACAGTGTACACATGGTAAATACATATTATCCTGGGCTTGATCCTCAATTCAAAGCTATTGGTTCTTTAACAGAGTACTTTTAGTGTTATTGATGAGCAAATAGCATGTTAATAAACTTAAAATCTCAACCCCTTTTTTTTCCTGACATTATTGTAAGTGATGTGGAGGGGGAAGTGCAAGTCACATAAGAGTGAAGCTGATTCCTTCCCAACAGTGTAACTGCAATATTATCCGTCGCCTGTGCTGGTGCATATGTATCATGACCAACTATATAATTTTCCTATATGTCAAATGAATTAAAAATAGCTGGTTTCAGTTACAGTAGAGTATAATTTATTGGTTTGGTTAACACCTCGTGCACAATTGTGAAGTTGAGTTAACCATGTGTAATTAACAACCGTTGAAAAGATTTATAGAAACTCATGAATCGTTTCCATCAGTTCTTAATTATCTAAATAGACACCTTCATTACTGCTGTACACATGTTGGCACAAAGGCAAATTCTATGGATAGCCTAAGCGAACCTGGAAATTACTCCCAGTATTAAAATAATGAAGTAGAGTTATTCTTGGCAATGAGCATTACTCTTGAAAAGGGATTTCTATGATCTTCAATAATAATCATCGCATTTGATATAGTGCCTTTCATGTTCGAAAGACATATCAAAGCACTTCATATGATATACTGTAAAGTGTAGTGACTGTGTGTTTTGGAGGCAAATGCAGCAACCCATTTACCCAAAGCAATATCCCACAAACAATCATGGAGTAAGTGACCAATTTTATTTGGGAGTTTGTTGGTCAGGACACAGAAGAAACTCCCTTCTCTTTTCAAATAGTGCCATGGGATCTTTTATGGCCACCTGGACAGATAAACTAACCTTGGTTTAACATCTCATCCAAAGGATGGTAACTCAAACAATGCAACACTTTGCAATGAACTGGGCTGGACTATATGAATTCAAAGTACTGATGTCGTTGAACTCACAATCTTCTGATGTTTTGTTTAGGTTTCATTTATATGCATATTTATTTCTTAACAGTTACTATACGGCCTTGACCCAGCAATTCATCAATCTCAATGTTGCTGAAACTGTTCCAGATGTGAAAAATATTTATACTGCAACTTCTGTACTATTTTAACATAACAAATTAGCAATAAATTTAGTAGTGCTGTGAGTAGGTTAAGCTTGACTTCATGTTTGTGAAAAAGCTATAACAATACTACTTTTCTTTTTGTTTGTCAGAGAAAAGTTCGATCCTTGAAATCAGGGTAAGGATATCTCAAATTGTTCATTATGTTTGGCAATCCATGAAAAGGATGCTTTTGTTGAATTATATCACATCTTTGTTCTCATCATTTCATTTTCTCACAAGCAGATTTTAATAATCAGTCTGTCACTCAGTTTGTTGCTAAAAATGTTTAGTTAAAAATTGGAAGTGGAGATTACAATGTTTAAGCCTGTCACTGTGTAAAAAACACCAGCAGTCGCTAGATGGCAGTTCATTCCTCTCGGGAAGTAGAATCTTCCTTTAGTTCTCGATTGCCATTTTTTGTTATTACCTTGAAGGAATCTATCACCTTTCACAAGAATCATTTTTCGCTGAAATAATTTTAGCAGCTGTAGACTTAAAAGCCCGCAAACTTTATTCTATTTATCTAGTTCTTCAGTATGATCAGGAACATGATCCCAGCCTTGAAAACGCTTGAGAATCATAGACATCTGTTTCATTTAGGCTTCTCAGTGTTTTCAAAGCTTGGATCATGTTTGTGATATTAAATTGGACCAAGGACAGAACTTGAGGAGACAGGTTCAATGAACAAGCCTCAGACAAACTTTCCCATGGTCTGGAGAAGGCGTGGTCACTTCTATTTTCTTGTTTTGTTACAGAAGGTTCTTTTTGTTTTGAGAGTAATTGGAGTAAAGCTACAAACACAAGTAAAACACAAGAGCTCTCTGCTTCACACGATTTAATCATAGAATCATAGAATATTATAGCATAGAGTGCTGTAATATTCCAATCAGTCCCACTCCCCCACTCTTTCCCTAAATCCTTGCAAATCTTTCCTTTTCAAGTACCTATCCGATTCCCTTTTGAAAGTTGTTCTGAATCTGTTTTCACAACCATTTCAAGCAATGAATTCCAGTCCATAACAACTCTCTGTGTAAAACAATTTTGCCTCATCTCCCCTCTGGTTTTATTGCCAATTATCTTGAATCTATGTGCCATGGTTACTGACCCACCTGCCAGAGGAAACAGTTTCTTCCTATCTACTCTATCAAAACCCTTCATAATTTTGAACACCTCTATTAAATCACCCCTTAACCTTCTCTGCTCTAAGGAGAACAATCACAGCTTCTCTAGTCTCTCCACATAACTAAAGTCCTTCATCGCTGATACCATTCTGGTAAATCTCTTCTGCACAAGGTTTTGATATCATTCCTAGATTATCATGCATAGAATTGGACACAATACTCCAGCTGAGACCTAACCAGTGACTTATAAAGGTTGTGATGTCCTCCGGACGTGAAAGGTGCTATAGAAATTTAATTTTGTTTACATTGTTATTGTGTAGCAAAACTTTCTTGCTTTTGTACTCTATGCCTTTATTTATAAAATCAAGGATCCCATATGCTTTCTTAACAGCTCTATCAACCTGTCCTGCCATCTTCTAAGACTTGTGTATGTGAACCCCCAGGTCACTCTGCTCTTGAACCCCCTTTAAAATTGGACCATTTAGTGTATATTACCTCTTCTCATTCTTCCTAAAATGTAGCACCTCACACTTCTCTGCATTAAACTTCATCTGCCACGCGTCTGTCCATTTTATCAGTCTGTCTATCTCCTGCAGTCTGCTACCATACTCCTCACTGTTTACTACATTCCCAAGTTTTGTGCCATCTGCAAGCTTTAAAAGTTTGCTTTCTATACCCAAGTCCAAATCACTCACATATATCAAAAAGAGCAGTGGACCTGACAGTGACCCCTGGGGACACCACTGTATACTTCCCTCCAGACTGAAAAACAACCATTCACGACTTTCTATCTCCTAGACAATTTCATATCCACACTGCCTTTTAACCCTTTTATCCCATGGAGTTCAATTTTGCTAACTAGTCTATTACGTGGCATAACAATGTATAATTAATGTTGTATTTGGATCATCAACAGCTGAACTGTTTTTTTCCCCACAGCAACCAGCACCACCACCCAGGTAATATGAAATCAAATACACTTGGTAAAGGTATGACTGCATGAAACACTGGCTACTTTTATAGTACAGTAGACCAATGGTCATCAAGTCAGAATTTCCAGTTAAATGTAATTACAATGCCAGCATTTACCAGCTTTTCTTAGCGTTGGATTTTTTTCTGCAAAACGCCTCAAAATACTGGTAAATGCCAGTACTGTCACTGTAATTGTTGAATAGCGAATAAGCTGTCTTCTGCTTGAGGGATTCAAACTGAATCAAAGTCAATATCCCTGGCCACTGAAGACCAACAATCATGGTGATGTAGGGGAGCGCTCTAGGAGAGTGGCCGGCATGAGTCTGCACTCAGTCCACGGAACTTTTATCAATTTTTCGCTTTCGGGTCCTGTCTGACTCGTTCCAAATTCCGGATACCCGGAGTCTGGTAAGATGGGGGTTTAATGTACTTATCTGACTATGTTAATCTTGCCCTATGGACTATGGCATATAGGGTTGTAGTTATAACCACACTACTTGAATCTTGCGTGTCATTCTGTTCAGCTGGGACTCTCAGCTCTGAGAAAGATTGTAAATTCAAGTCCCACATAAAGACTTTGAATTGACAAGTGCGGGCTGACACTCCAATGCAGTTGAGGATGTGTTGCATTGTCAGAGGTGCCATCCTTCGAATGAGATGTTAAACTGAGATTCTGTCTGCTTTTCAGGTAGATGTTAAAGATCCCATGGCACTATTCGAAAAGAGAAGAGAGTTTCTCCTGGTATCCAACAATCCCCCAGATAAAATTGCTTCATGACTGTTTGTGGAATATTGCTGGGTGCAAATTGGCTGCTAAAAATAACATTAGAAAACAGTAGACTATTCAGCCCGGCGAACTTGTTTCACATTTTATTGGGTCGTGACTGATCTGAAACTTAATATAATTTCCCTAGCCTTTCACTATATTCATTGATCCCTTCACCCACCAGATATCCATCTCCCTCCCTCTTAAATACTTTAATTGAACCAACATCTACAATGTTTTGAAGTAGTAACTTCCATGTTTCCACAGCCCTTTGTGTGGGAAAAAAACAATTTCAAGAATTACTGAATCTGTTATGAAACATCATATAAAACCATAGAAATGAATGCCAATAGGAGGCCATTCAGCCCAATATTTTCTGTCAGTGTTTGGCTCTCATACAAGCAGTCCATCATACTCTTAATTCCCTGTTCTTTCCTTGTATCTTCTAATAAATTTCCTCTGCTTTTGCTTGTCCATTTTTAAAATTCCCCACCCACTCTGATATATTCATAATAATATAATAAGCTTTGCATTTGATATAGCGCCTTATCACATCTTCGAGACATCTCAAAATACTTCACAGAATATACTGTAAAGTGAATTGACTGTATATTTTGTGGGCGAAACCCGGCAGCCAATTGCACAAAGCAGTGTCCCACAAACAGTCGTGGATTGAAGTGACCAATTTTATTATTGTTTTTTTTTCTTGAGGGACCAATTTATTATTTTTGATGGAATTATTACGCCTGAGAAAGGTATCCACCAAACCAGGTTCTGGTTAAGAAACCTGTTATGAAAGCTGAATTTAATGATTTTTTATGTATATGTATATCTAGGCCTCCTAAGCATTTACCCAAGGATTTCAAGCCACTTCCTCCCGAACCAAGTCGTAGCCAAAGTCCCTCAGAACCCAACAAATTGTTGAACTCTAGAAAAAGTCCAGTGACAACTCAGAGTGGCAATGGCACAGTGTAAGTTGAATTGGATACTATATTCAGAACGTTTTCTTATAGTTTGATAAATCATCTATCTGTATGAACATTTACCACACACAACTGCTATCGTTCACCTTCTTGTTCTCTTTCAGATCTCCTTGGAAGAATACAAATGACGAGGTATCTAATGTTTTTAAACCCTTTCATTTTCTAACATTTTTTCTGTGAAATAATCAAAGAACTTTGCGAGGAACATTCAACCTTTGTTTTAATCAACTTCACAGTAAAATTAAATGAAAGCACTTGAGTGTTTGCACAAGACATTGGTTGTACCGGTTACAGCATTGTGTCTAGTTTTGGATACCCTCTATCGTACCAAGGTTAGAGTTATGTGGATACAAATTTTGGGATGGTTCCTTGAAACAGAGAAGTTAAGAGAGGATCTAATAGAGAAAAAAAATCTTGAGAGGATAGATAATGAAAGATTATTCCTGCTGCTTAGTAAATTGGTTAAACAAAATATAAAATCAGGCTGAATACTTACCTTCACGTGCCTTTGAAGTTGTGACCATGAAAACATTTTAAAAGAATTTGAATAAACATTTCAAGAGGAAGAATATAAAATGATACAAAGAGAGAGTATAGAATTGGAATGAGAGGAGTTAGCTTGGGTAAAGAAGCTATCACCATCCTATGTTCAATGGCCTAACTGCCTCCTCCTCAGCTGTAAAATGAAATTGATAATAATCCTATGGGGGAAACTTAGTTTAGGTATTTGAGAGTATATAACATGCTTGCAATCCTTATTACTGCTTCTTTTTCCTCAACAGATAATACCAAGAAAGGGTGAGTAATAATAATCTTTGCATTTGTACTGTTTATAATTTCAAAACACTTCACAGGTAATGGCTATCAAGTGTAGTGTATAAGTAGGTGGACAAGGCAGCCAACTGGTGATCGGCGAAGTTCCACAAACACGAAAGGGAAAGATCAATTTATTTTGAGTATTTTTGGCCAGGACAACAGGAGAAACTCGCTTCTTTTTGAATAGGGTTAATTGTAAAGTTTGACTGTAGATTGGACAGCACTGCTAACAATGCAGCACTCCTCCAGCATTGCACCCAGGGTAGGTTTAGTCTGTGAGCTCAGAATCCCAACATGGTTCTTGAACCCACAGCCTTCTGACCCAGATATGAGAGTACTGCAAGCTAAGCCACACTGATACCTCCATATCTAGCACATTGCAGAGGACACTTAACACTCGATTAATACTTTGATATTTGGAAAATTTCTACATTTTGTAGCTTGTTTTCTAAAAAAAATTGTATATATACATTATTATGTGGGTGTAACTCTCATAACATTTAATTATATATTGTAACTTCACATGATCACAAGATTGGTTTGGACGTTCAGCCCATCTGATCTCATCTTTCCAGAATACTCACCCTACCATTTCTATTACAGCACCAAACTCAAGCTGTCTTTCAAGTGAGTTTCTAAAAGGACTATTTTGAAAGGTAGCTCAGCACTGTGATGGGAGAACGGTAACTTGAGTATTAATAATAATAATAATACTTCCATTTGATTTAGCACATTATCACATCGTTGAGATGTCTCAAAGCATTTCACAGAATAAATTGACTCTATATTTTCTATTCGAAGAATGAGATTAGGTGGGCTGAAGAGCCTTCTTCATCCAACCAATTTTGTGATCTTGGCCTAAACTACCCATCCTGACAATCAGTTCCAGTTGTTAATTACCCTTGATATGTGATAAAAAGAAATACAACTTTGACGCTCCAAATGTGCGACATGAAGGTCTGCAAAATGGGATTTTATTTGCCTCAGTTGCTAGAGGATACTGAATACCTGTCCTCTGCCTGCGAATAAGTTTTTTTGTATTAGTTTTTATTATAATCCTTTCACTTGATGCAGACATTTCGATGTCAGGAGGGCATTTTAAAGCACTATACATGATTTACTGCAAAGTGCAGTTTATGTATTTATAAAATCCATAAATTGTTGGATTTGGGGGGCATTTTGGTCAGCAAATAAAGCCAGTGTACAATATGGCATTAGTGATGTTGAAATACTATTCATGATGTTGATAGCTGACTCTGGTGAGTATATGATACAGGACCTCTGTGCCCTTACAACACCCTCAACATTTGTGTCTGGAAATATTTTTTCTTACATGTATGCTGTACTTACCTGATCTGTCAGACAAATACATACCTACTCCTCCATAACCATTACAGCTTTCCTTACTCCCTTGTCGTTTCCTCTGTTACAACGGGGATAATATTTAAACCATTTTATAGCCAAGATATACAGAGTTAATCCTCAGACATACAAGATGTATTGCGCTGTGACAGCTGAGAATAAATTACCAAGTATTTTTGAAATGTTCGGAAAGGAAGCTGAACTTCCATGCCGTCCGTAGAACACAGAGGGATTAAAAATATTCCTTTGTTCACCATATTTAATATAAATGGCAAAAAATATTCTTTGTTTTAATGAATTCTATCCGACACAGAGAAACTGTTGTAAATTACTCCACCTGGTGGATTCCAAGAGAATTCACCAAAAGAGACCAAAATTGATGTTAGTGAATGGGAGGGAGCAAGAGTAAATGCAGATGTGTTCTGGTGGTGCAATATGTTAATGGCATGGGTGCTAGGATAAAGTTACTGCTGTGATTCCACATATGACAAATTTGTGTTTTGTATTATTATTTAATTGGCGTCCTGTATCTCAGTGGTTAGAGCATTCGCTTTGCAAACGAGACACCTGGATTCAATTCCAGGCAGGGTGAAACCTTGGGCAAGTTTCCTTACTCCACATGCCTAATAATAATCCCTCCAAATCAAAACAGTAATAAATTGGTCACTTTCAATCTACGACTGTTTGTGGGACACTGCTGTGCGCAATTGGCTGCCGCGTTTTGTCCACAAATATACGGTCAATTCACTTTACAGTATATTCTGTGAAGGGCTTTGAGATGTCCAGAAGACGTGAAAAGTGCTATATCAAATGCAAGGAATATTATATTATTAATATTGCCCTCTCACATTGGGAGGACCTCCCAAAGCACTGGCTGGGTACCCAAGCTGAGGGGTGGGACTTGAGGAATGTGGGGAGGGGAAAGATAACCACCTCCTAATGTGAAAGGCGACAGAGGACTGGGAGCAGTACATTGTCCATCGTCTCAGCCGGAGATTGCCAACCAGGATTGGGGAGCTTCAGAGCAGATTTTTTTTTAAATTAAGCAAACAATAATAGATGAATGTATTTATGCTTTACTTCACGGTCCATATTTACTGAAAATTATTGAACACTAAATAGAAATGGCTATACAGCATTGTAAATATTATATTCATAAAAGTATTCATTTTGATTTTTTCATTTAGGCATTCATTTTAGATGTCAGCCTGACATTCCTTCACCAACCAAAGACCTTCATCCACCAACCAGGAATCCGCCCCCACCATACAGAGACCCGCCGCTACCGAGCAGAGACCCGCCGCTACCGAACAGAGACCCGCCCCTACCGAACAGAGACCCGCCGCTACCGAACAGAGACCCGCCGCTACCGAACAGAGACCCGCCCCTACCGAACAGAGACCCGCCCCTACTGAAGAGAGACCCGCCCCTACTGAACAGAGACCCGCCCCTACTGAACAGAGACCCGCCCCTACTGAACAGAAACCCGCCCCTACTGAACAGAGACCCGCCCCTACTGAACAGAGACCCGCCCCTACTGAACAGAGACCCGCCCCTACTGAACAGAGACCCGCCCCTACTGAACAGAGACCCGCCCCTACTGAACAGAGACCCGCCCCTACTGAACAGAGACCCGCCCCTACTGAACAGAGACCCGCCCCTACTGAACAGAGACCCGCCCCTACTGAACAGAGACCCGCCCCTTATAAACAGAGACCCGCCCCTATTGAACAGAGACCCGCCCCTATTGAACAGAGACCCGCCCCTATTGAACAGAGACCCGCCCCTACTGAACAGAGACCCGCCCCTACTGAACAGAAACCCGCCCCTACTGAACAGAGACCCGCCCCTACTAAACAGAGACCCGCCCCTTATAAACAGAGACCCGCCCCTATTGAACAGAGACCCGCCCCTATTGAACAGGGACCCGCCCCTACTGAACAGAGACCCGCCCCTACTGAAAAGAGACCCGCCCCTACTGATCAGAGACCCGCCCCTACTGATCAGAGACCCGCCCCTACTGAACAGAGACCTGCCCCTACTGAACAGAGACCCGCCCCTGTCGAAAAGAGACCCGCCCACACCAAGCAGAGACCTGCCCACACCAAGCAGAGCCCAGCTCACACCAAGTAAAGGCCAGCTCACATCAAGCAGAGACCTGTCCCCCATGAACAGAGACCCGCCAATACCAAGCAGAGGCCAACCCATACCAAGCAGAGGCCCACCCATCCTGAGCAGAGACCTGCCCCTCCTGAGCAGAGACCCGCCCCTCCTGAGCAGAGACTTGCACTCACCAAGCAGAGATCAGCTTCCACTGTCATTTCGACCTAAACCTCCGATCCCTCAGTCAGCAAGGTACAACTAAAAATAAAGAATAAAATCTTTAGTCAGTCATTTTCCATCAAGATCCATGCTTCTCAAGCCATCTTCAACAACAACAACAAGATTATATTTGTATAGCGCCTTTCGTGTCGGGAGCACATCCCAAGTGCATATAAACACTGTGTTAGTTATTTAAGCTAAAAGCACTCTCAAGACCCTACCCAAATGTGAGCTATATAAATGCAAGTTGTTTGTGGTGTAAAAGATTATTTAGAAAAGATATTACAGACTTTGGAAAGTAAGATTCTACAAGGTGTTAACTTTCTTAAAATAAATAGCTGAAAGTTCATTTTAAAAGTGTTGGAGACAGCTAGCGTTTCATCTCAAATGCTGTTGGCCATTTTGCAACAAAAACATCACAAATGTGTGTGTGTGTGTGTGTGTGTATGTGCACACACTTATGTTTAAAGTTGTCTGGAAATTGAATTTAGTACAAATTCATTCAACTCAGTGATGCACCATACCAAAAATAGAGGCTGTATGTTTTATTAGACAAGATTCTTCCAGCTTGTCTTGGTATCACAGGGCCACACATCAATTGTATCTGAGGGGCAGGTGGATGATCTTAAAATAGACTTCCAAGGCCTCAGACTTAAAATAGAAGCATTATCCTCATTGGGAGAGATAAGTGGGGTCTCATTGGAGCTGAACTGGGTCCCAGGTGACATGCTTGATATGGAATATCAGAACTGAGTTAATCTTCTGTGGCAGTCTTGTAGTCTGATGTGTGTGCCAGGCGAGTCTGCACTACTGCAGGGCACTGATGAAGATGGACCTACCAGTCTGACACATCTGTTGGACTTGGGTAAGCAGTTACTGAGGGAAGAGATTCTTTCCACTCAGCTCCTAAAAATAAATATTTTTTGCTAAATCTTTAAGATGGGGAATTCCTCAGATTGACACAGAGCAGGAATTACAATAGGCTGTACAATTTTCATGCAGTAATAGAATTCAAAATGGACACAAATGCGAATCATTAAAATGATACTGCTGTAAGTTTCCTTTATGTTTTTCTGATTGTAACAATGTTTGTTTTTATGCTAGCACTTCTAACAGAATATCACAGATACCAGGTATAACATATTTTTTACCTATATATAGTCTAACTTATATTTGCAATAAATATTGTAATATATTAACATCTTCTAATAATCTAATGTAATATATTAACATATTAAAATCTACTAGATCAATGTTTGTGTTCCATTTCCGTTACCTAAACGTAAACAATTATAAAAGTGTTTTTGCAGAATCTTTTCATTATCAAATTATAATTATAAATAAACTTACTACTAAAAATCATCATAGTTACTTTGGGTTATATTAATTCTGTTTGTTTTACATCACTAACGTACCTTGGATTTTTCATGATCTCCAGTGAAGCCATCACAAGACATGCCCAGGAGACCAGAAATGCAGTCCAGTCCTCGTGTACAGAATGCTGAACATTTTTCCAAACTTTCTGCAAAGGTAAATGATTAACTCCATTTCTTGAAATGAGATCCAAACCTAAGACTTGGGGTTGAAAGTTCAGCATTCACATTAACTACAGTTTCACCAAAATTTGCATGAGTAAGTGGCATCAGTATGTAGAACTCTTAGTATGGTTTGGATACTCTTAAGCATGGTAATAGTTTATTGCTGTAATTGTGTATCCACAAATGTACAGGTATTTTACTTTGACAATGACAAAAAATGATGGTTAGTGTCATACAGTGGAGATTGCCAGTTTTGCAGGATAATTTAGAGGAATGATTTGAGGAACAGACTGATCATTAAAATGAAACGGAGTCCAAAGTCCACCATTAGTTTATTCATGAATCTCCAAATTGGCACTGATAGAAATTAACACCTGAAGTGGCTCTGTCAATTTCAAGCATTTAATTTAGTTGATGTGTAGTGGCAAATTTGAGATCAAAGTTGGGATGAATCCAACCTCAATTTATGAGTTTTAATGGGGTGTTAGAAATGTTTCTTTCCACTGGGAGGCTTTGTAGGCAAGATGGTGAGATGATAAAAGTAAGTAGATACTTTCCTAGTCCACACAATGCATGTCTCTGGTGAGTGGGAGGACAGAGCAAAATGTTGAATTGTATTGCCTGATTATTCAAAGTATTTCTCATTTTGCATGTGAATAGAAATTCATTTCCATTATGAATATATTTCAGGATTTAGAAGGAAACGATTGGTATGTTAGCTCCTATGACCGTTATGAAGCAGAAAGAGCTTTAACAGAAACCAATAAGGTAACCAGTTATGCTCCAAACCTTGAATATTCAAATATGCATAATAAATAATTTTACATAAAGTATCTGCTTATGAATAAAATCTATGAAATCTCAAGACATTTTTAAAAGGCTTATAAAGTTTTTATGCTTATTGCACATGTTGTTTTGCAATCATGTTACTTTATTCATTCTACAGTAGTACTAACTGGTATGTTTCAGTAAAAATAATTTCAAGTTACACCACGTTGTAATTTTTTTGCCTAAAAGTTGTCTCCCTTCCTCAAAGTCCTGATGTATGATAAGGTACAGTTCTACAGGCATTGGTTTCCCTCTAGTACCTTACAGGTTAGGATAAAAAAGACTCAAAAGCCTATTTGGTCTTAACCTTCCAGAATACCAACACCCACCCCCACCAGAATCAAGCCTTCCCTGAAATTGCACTTTGTAGCCCTGAACCTGTGTCCACCTGTTCTGCTACCTTGGCATGCAATTGTATTTATGGGTAAATCTCAAAGGCCAGTGATCTTAATTGTGTCAGATATCTGATACCTCTAAAACAAAACAATAATAACTTGATCATTCTCAATCCACGACTGTTTGTGGGACACTGCTGTGCGCAATTGACTGCTGTGTTTCGCCCACAAATATACGGTCAATTCACTTTACAGTATATTCTGTAAAGCGCTTTGAGACGTCCAGAAGACGTGTAAAGCGCTATATCAAATGCAAGGATTATAATAATTATTATTATTATTATTATATCAGGTTGTGAAGCAGGCCGGAGCCCGCTGAGCGGAGGAAGTGGGCAGGTTAGTAGGGGGTTAGGAGGTAGTGGGGAGCAAGGCCATGGAGGGCTTTGAAGGTGAGGACCAGGATCTTGAACTGTATCATCTGTGTGATGGGAAGCCAGTGGAGTTGGGTCAGGATGGGGGTGATAGCGTCACAAAGCCTGGTGTGGGAGAAGACACGGGTTGCAGAGTTCTGTATGTAATCTATTATTAACTGTTGAATTCGCTCACTTTTCCTTGAATTAGGATGGTTCATTCTTGGTCAGAGACAGTTCCAAAAAATCCCCAGATCAGCCATACGTATTGGTTGTATATTATGGAAGTAAAGTTTACAACATTCAAATTCGATACTTTGGGGACAGTAAACAGTATGCTTTGGGAACTGGACTCAGAGGACATGACGTAAGTTTCCTCAATTCCTTTCCTTCCATCTTTTGGAGAATACAATAATTTGTTCATTGTAAATAAGTCTTCATTATCAACTGAGTCTGCATTTGTAATATCAAATGTGTGTTCTGTTTGCACTTTTTATAGTTGGGATACTTACCACATGCAAAGCTCACAAAAATCAAATTCTAATGCTTAACAACACTTGGGTGCCATCAGCCTGGCTCAGTCGGTAGCACTGTTGCCTCTAAGTTTAAAAAGTTGTGGTTTCAAGTTCTAGATCGTGAATTTGAACTCACAGTTCTGGCTAATACTCCAATGCAGTGCTAGATGGTGAGCTGTATTGTCAAAATTGCTGTTCTTCACATGAATTGTTAAACTAAGATCCTTTCCGCCTGTTCAGTTTGATGTTAAAGATCCCATGGCACTACTGAAATTATTATTAGAATTGGCATTGCACTATTACTCCATTACTCCCAACACCTCAATGATGATCTCACTGGAGCTGCAGCTGCCGACTTACAGTGTAACATTTCCCTATCAGGAGGAATTTGGTGCTAAAGTTGCAATATAACAAGGTGTTACTAGGCTACAATGTCCTTTATAATAATAATCTTTGCATTTGATACAGCGCCTTTTCACGTCTTCTAGATGTCTCAAAGCGCTTCACAGAATATACTGTAAAGTGAATTGACTGTATATTTGTGGACGAAACGCGGCAGTCAATTACACACAGCACTGTCCCGCAAACAGTTGTGGATTGACTGGCCAAATTTTTTTTTGAGGGATTATTATCCCTGTGGTGGAGTCCGTAGCTCAGTGGTTAGAGCACTCGACTTGCAAGCGAGAGACCTGGTTTCAATTCCCAGCAGGGGGAAACCTTGGGCAAGTTTCCTTATTCCATACACCTGATGTTAATTCTCTCAAAAATAATAAATTGGTCACTTCAATCCACGACTGTTTGTGGGACACTGCTGTGCGCAATTGGCTGCTGTGTTCCGCCCATAAATATGCGGTCAATTCACTTTATAGTATATTCTGTGAAAAATGTTGAGAAGTCTAGAAGATGTGAAAAGCACTATATCAAAATGCAAGGATTATTATTATTATTATTATCCTCAGGAAAGCAATCCGCCAATCGACTAACAACTGGGTTCCTACTTACTGCTGGGTAAACAGAGGAGTGTGGAGTAAGGAAACTTGCCCAACTTTTCGCCCTGCCAGGAACCGAACCAGGTCCTCTCACTTCCGAGGTGATTGTTCTAACCACTGACCTACAGGACTCCACACTTAGAGATGGACCTTCTTTTCTATTCATATCATTCAAATACAAGCTTGTTTGCTTGCTGCTCCCATATATTCTTATAGCTTAGCTTGGATTATATCAGGTTATATTATTACTATATATTGAACAGGAGTGGTTTGGTGTAAATCACCTTTTAACTCACAGCCACTATCCCCTGGAGCAAAGTATATACTATTGTTCTACTTCCCTCAGAGATAGAAGTTCAGATAAAATGTTATTTTGAATAATGCTTTCCTTGTGTTTTTTAAAATGGTTCTAAATTTCTCTCAGTGTGTTGATAATAAGTAAGAATTAATTACACTATTAATGTAACTGTGCAAGCCTTGTTTCATCCTGTTGAAATTGCCTTTTAAAAGAACTAAATATTTGTACACCTGCTATTTTTCTAAAATTCCAATTACATTTTGGAGAGGCTAAATTTAGTATGAATTCAAACTTAATAGAGCTTCTATTCATGAATGTCCTTAACCAGCAGTCAGATCACAGGATGAAAATTCAGATCCTTTTGCTTTCAAGTAATTCTGAAGAGCCTGTATTCAGATGGCGTGTGTCTGGAATAAAACAGCTGAGAATGTTGCCAAGGCAACAGTGCCATTACACATTGCCTGTTAGTTCTCTGATTTGCAAGCCGTTCTGGAGACTATGATGCCAATGGAACTGCTAATAAATTTGTCTGCAGCAGTTTTCAGTTTTTAGTTAATTGTAGATGTAAAAAGGCAACATGGGCCCAGGACAAAAGCACCAATGCTCTCATGTGGAACTTGTTTGAAACCAGATTGGATTTTTTTTTACAATTTGCAAAGGGAAACTTCTGTTTAGACTACCAAAAGTTGACATCAGCATATGGGAATTTTATCATAATTAAACAAAACAGTAAAACGAGTTGTACTTTTATCCTCTACGATAAAAGTGCAACTTGGTTTACTGGAGTCTGTGGAGTCCTGTAACGCATTGGTTAGAGCAGTCACCTCGCAAGCGAGAGAACCTGGGTTCGATTCCCAGATAGGGTGAAATGTTAGACAAATTTTTTTACTCCATACGCCTCTGTTTACCTAACAGTAAGTAGGAACCTTGGTCACTCAATCCATGAAGTTTGTGGGACACTGCTATGCACAATTGGCTACCACGTTTCACCGACAAAATATTCAGTCAATTCACTTTACAGTATTTTCTGTTAAGCACTTTGAGATGCCTCGAAGATATGTTAAGACATGCTTTATCAAATGCAAGGATTATTATTAATCATCAGAAAAAGAAATTGACTTAAATTAACAGATAATTATATAGGCAGTATAATATGTATAATCATGATCATTAACCAATGCTGGGCATAAGTTAATCTAAAAGTTAGTTTATACCTGAACTCAATAATAAGTCAGATCTACATATTAGATTATAAAACAACAAAACTTAGAAAAAAATAAACTCTAAAACATTGCAGTACTTTTTGGCTCAGAACAATATACATTGATACCAAGAAGAGTGTATGGATAAATAATTCTTGCTTTTTAACAGGTCTCACTGTTTCCAAAGTCATAAGACTTCAACTTAAGAGAAAATTGTCACTGTGTTCGAGAAATTACATACTTTTTCAAGTTTGTATATATGTTTAGAATTAGATAGTGAAACACTCTCATTTTTCTTTCTCTACAGATATTTGATTCAGTGTCTGAAATGATACAATTCCATAGAAATATTCCCTTGCGATTGATCGATCGAAGAGATCAAACTGGAATCCAAATGGAGCATTGCATCTTGACTTCTCCAGTGGGACCATATTGACAATATTGTATACTTGCTTTCCTTATATATGTATATATTAAATATTTAAAGTGCTATAATTTATTTTCATGTAAATATATACATGCTCAAAATACATTCATCAGTTTATCCTGTTTTATAACATACAAATTTGAAATTGTTCAGGCAGACATAATGATACAGTTAGTTATTATTTAGAAAAAGCAAGATAACCCAGAAAATATAATTGAAGAGTATTGTATTGAAATAGAAAATATGATTCTGTATTTCTCCTACAATTGTAGACTTGTGAGATTCAATAAATCCTGATGTTTTAATTTTAATAATAATATAATAATAATCCTTGCATTTGATATCTCGTGCTTTTCACACCTTCTCAACGTCTCAAAGTGCTTTACAGAATAGACTGTAAAGTGAATTGACCGTATATTTGTGGGTGAAACGCGGCAGCCAATTGCACACAGCAGTGTCCCACAAACAGTCGTGGATTGAAAACGACCAATTTTTGTTATTGTTTTGGAGGGATTATTATTGGGCGATTGCAGTAAGGAAACTTGCCCATGGTTTTGCCCTGCCTGGAATTGAACCCAGGTGTCTCGCTTGCAAGGCAAGTCCTCTAACCACTGAGCTACAGGACTTTATTTTGTTTAGGGGAAACCGATTGTTATGTCCATCTATTTGTGAGTGTGTTTCATAGCTGTGCTTAATTTTTATTACTTTCAAAGGCAATGAAAAAATACAATTTGCTAATTCAAGAAAAAAACATTTTCTCATATTATAACTAAACATACATTTCTTGTTTACTGACATCAACATTATTATAATGATACTAATAATAATAATTGTTGCACTTGATATAGCGCTTTTCACGTCGGGAGGACGTCCCAAAGCGCTTCACAGAATATACTGTAAAGTGAATTGACTGTATATTTGTGGGGGAGCGCGGCAGCCAATTGCGCACAGCAATGTCCCACAAACAGTCGTGGATTGAAAATGACCAATTTATTATTGTTTTTGGTTTTGGAGGGATTATTATTAGGCTCTGTGTGGAGTAAGGAAACTTGCCCAAGGTTTCACCCTGACCTGCCTGGAATTGAACTCACGTCTCTCCCTTACAAAGCGAGTGCTCTAACCACTGAGCTATAGGACTCCAATAGACCTGTGGAGACATGTCCTAAAGATAATCTTGATACATTCCAGTAAAAGATCTATTCCTAGCTGGTGAATATAGACCTGCATGCAATGCTTGCCTTGTATTAGTTTTCAACAATGTTTAAGAGTATACCTTAGGTAAATCAATAGTGTACTTGGGTACTCTCCTTTTCAGCAGCTTCTATGTTTTGTCAGTCAATCCTAATAATATCTGCAAACAAATATTTTAGGAAATTTTGATGATATTGGAATTTTCTTATAATATTGGGATCTAGCTTGTAATATTTCCTAATTCAAGTTCCCATTCACTCAGACTTGAGGGAATTCTATTTAGAAGTAGAATCAGGGCTGTATTCAACGGGATTTAGAAAGATTTTCATTTGCACATTCCAGAGTCCTTATTATGAAATCCTCAAGGCATAGCACAAATCAGATTCTAATGTAATTCTCTAATAATTTGAATGTTTCTAGTCAGCTTTAGTCAAACCTTTTATAAATCATCCAGAATCTGTGATATATTCTAATTGTGTGGAAATTCATTTAGACTTTCTGTGCAGATTACAATTCCAAATATTTGAATGTCGAAACAACCTTATGGTAGCACTCCAAACTAAACCAGGTGCAGCAGCAATTTAAACAAAGAATGGAGAAAGAATGTTATGTTTCTAGACAGAATTAAACATTTTTTAAATAAGCATTATTTATTTTCAAATTGGAAATACTGTACTGAAAAGAATCACATAACATGACACATAATTTTAGTGTGTACTCTTAAGCAAGATATGGTAGCTGGGATGTCATAATTGACTAAACATTTTCTTAGTGTGTCAAGGGCAACTGGTGGCATGTGCATGTGGTAAGGTCGACACTCATCACACTAGTTCAGTTTGTACCAAAAAGAACTTCAAGACATTTACATGGCTTCAGTGGATAAGTGTAGATTTCTGCTAAAAATTGGTACAGTAGATAAGGTACCATTGCATTACCATTGTTCTTTGACCCAAAGTGGGAATGATCAATGATTAGGCAGGCATTGGTTGACCATCAATAATTTTGTGCAATGTATGTATTGGGTTATCTGGCAAAGTAAATAATAGTTAGGTATTTGCACATTATCAAACTGTAGCTCTCATTTAAATAACTGTGTTGATTCATCTAATTCATGCCTTGAATATTAGCTTTGGCCATTTTTCCCCTTTCAGCATTAGTGAACCTCACAGCAACTACCACCAACTGTGGGAACCTTTGGCGATACCTCCAACGCTAAAAAGCTCACAAAAGCTTACAAAAAGTGATGCCATTTTCAATATCCCATGTGAGAAATACAAATTTTCTCAGCAACAGTGATCCAAATGAATATGAATGTACCTTACGCTATGCTGTCCATTGTTATGACACAGATGATGCCTATATATAAGTATTCAACTCAAGTTTGTGTTTTGTCAGAAGACAGAACATGTATGGATGCAATATCTAACATGCTCCAAATGATCCTAACTGATAATGCAATATTGTCTGCTTAGCTAAAAAAAGTTATTGTTTCCTTTGAAACTTTACTTTGATTTATATGTTCTTCACAATTTTTTTTAACTGTTCAGAATTGTACGGTGATTAATTTCAACCAAGGTCTTTACTTATTTCTAATGTGTCAGTGAAGATATGTTTATTATGTTATTTGTTTCACTGTACACAGATGCGAAATGCATCTTTGTAGCACGATGTATGCAACCACGTAGATCAATTATTCCAAACGTATACGGATGTAAAGTTGAAACAATGTACTGTAGTACGTAAAATAGTTGATGCAGTTGTTAAGGACATTTCTACCAATTGGCTGCAGTCAACCAGAACAAAGCTTCACCCCTATCTCCTCATCTCCAATTGTTTCCCTTTTTTGACACACGAGGGACTGTTCTTGGTTTTATTAAATATAACACTGTTGATATCCCTATCTGAGCCATGATCTCATGGTTATGTCAAACACATGTTCACCCACTTTAGTTGTCGTTACCTACTGACACTTGATCCACACATTTGACTATTTTTCATTCAGCTCAATCTTATGGTTCACCATTTTCTCCAAAACTTTGCTATGAGAATGCAAATTAAACCAACCAAAAACAAGACCATTGACAACTGTGGGATCTAAATTGTAAGACTCAGAAAAAGATTTGTGGATAACAAATCCTGGAGATGTGATAGCCAACTCTCTAGAACTCAACTCTACTCAATGGAACACAAAACTGAGATTTGTGTCAAAATGGAGTTTCAGATGGGTGACCTGCGACACATTTGGAACTCTCTATAAAAAATCTTTTTGAAAATCTTGCAAATCACACCAGCTGCCTGTTACAAGAGCTTATTTTTGAGTCACAAACTTTTGGTTGGTGCTACAGCACATAGTATTGTACATTGATTTGTGTTCAGTGGAATTACGTTCTATTATATTATTGAAACCTATCATGAAGTTGTAATATGCATAATGAATATATAAACTACACCTGTAGTCTGTGTCTGCTACCCATTACCTGAATGGGGTTGTAAGATTCTGTAATTAATGTATTAAATAATATCTCAAATTATATTTGCAAAGTTAGTATCTATTTGAAACATATCAATCTCATATGAGGGGAGTTGGTTGTGACTAACTTTGAAGAAAATCCTTTCTCAAGGAGGAGAAACAAAAGACTCTTTATAAACAACAAACTGTTTTCAGTCCTTATCAGTCATTTTCTCATGGAAAAATGGTCTGCGGCTGGAGAGAGCTGTGTTGTATTTTTTTTCACAAAGGAACCATTTTGCAAAATACAAGAGGTGAAAGGCCACTTAACAAACTGTATAAGCGGAGATCGATTCAGAAGAGAATAAGAAGAAGGAATTCAAGAAGGAGAGGATCGAATTGGATGCGCCATTAACAGAATTGGACGTGCCATCATACCTGAAATTTCAAGTGATCGAATTCAACATATAATAATACCTGGATACTTTTGGGTGATCGAACTGAGAAAAGTACAACAATACTTGGATACCTTTGGATGGATATATATATGTATACATGGATTAAAAAGGCACATTAAAATGGACATTAAATTGGACATTGCTACTAAATCTCTTCCGCAGTATTTGGTTAGGTCAACTAAATCATTGTGAACTATGCGTCGATAAGTAAGCATTATTATAATGCAATCTTTTAATTACTTATGACTATTACTGATCTGAATTAATAAACATCTATATTTTTGTATAACATTTGTGTTAGTCCTTACTTCACCCCAGGGTCACAAATTTAAATTAATCCTTACAGGATAGGGGGAAAGGTAAGAGTCATATTTATGATTGAAGTCTGTTACAGCCATATATGAACAGAAATATTGTACATGACAATAAACAACAGCGGCAGTTATTCTTGTTGGTGTTAAGCAAAGATGCTATGAAACCAAGTAGTGATGTCTTTTATACTAATACCAGAGTTGTTCGCAGAGTTACCACAGTTGTGCAACATTTCTGTGGCCATTTTGATAAAATCTCAGCACAGTATTAGTGCCATTGCACAAGCTTGAGAAGAACAATGAGTGTAACAGAAGACAGCAATTACTTTGTTAATCAATTAAAGAAATAAGTCGAGGTCAACAAACTCACTGATTGCCAGAGGGAAAGGGCAAGGGTCAGACTCGTAAAAAAAATAGGTGGTGCAGCGTCTCCTTTTTCTTGTACAGAATTACCATAGTGCAGGACAAGGCAATTGCATGTACAACACATCATAATTATATGTACTAGTCTGCAGCAATGTAATATTTTATTCACTAAATTCAAGATAATGCCAGAGAATATTAACTTTACATTAACATTAATTTAATTTACATGCATCTTCAACTTACATTTATGAAAAAAAGCAAAAACACTTCCAGGCTGTTGGAAGTTTAGAAAGGTACTTTCCTATATGGTCATAAATGTCTAAGATTGCAAGAAACTCCTGGAAGACTGGGATAAGAGGATATATTCCTTTAAAAGAAACACAATATCTTTTCTAATTAGTGCATTTTCACTTGCACACCATTTCTCCAGTTACTCATTTGGCTTGTCTGCTGCATTAATACTGTTCCCACACTCAGCAGAATATTATGTTGCAAAAC